GGGGAAGGCCCGGGCTCGTAATTTAGTATTGGGGGAAGGCCCTCGTAATTTAGTATTGGGGGAAGGCCCGGGCTCGTAATTTAGTATTGGGGGAACCCTTGGTTTAGATAGTTTAGATAATTTAAATAGTTTAGATAGTTTAGGTAGTTTTGGGCTCCACCCGTGACCCAACCTACCCCCAAAATTATCTAAACTATGTAAACTATCTAAACTATCTAAACCCCCGGGCTCGTAATTTAGTATTGGGGGAAGGCACGGGCTCGTAATTTAGTATTGGGGGGACCCTTGGTTTAGATAGTTTAGATAGTTTAGGTAGTTTTGGGCTCCACCCGGGACCCAACCTCCCCCCCCAAACTACCTAAACTACCTAAACTACCTAAACTATCTAAACTATCTAAACTATCTAAACCCCACTGGTTTAGATAGTTTAGATAGTTTAGGTAGTTGAGGCCTCTCTCCCCCAACTATCTAAACTATCTAAACTATCTAAACCCCCCTGGTCTAGATAGTTTAGATAGTTTAGGTAGTTGAGGCCTCTCTCCCCCAACTATCTAAACTATCTAAACTATGTAAACCCCCCTGGTTTAGATAGTTTAGGGAGTTTAGGCCTCTCACCCAACTATCTAAACTATCTAAACTCTCTAAACCCCATTGGTTTAGATAGTTTAGGTAGTTTAGGCCTCTCCCCCAACTATCTAAACTATCTAAACTATCTAAACCCCACTGGTTTAGATAGTTTAGATAGTTTAGGTAGTTTAGGCCTCTCACCCAACTATCTAAACTATCTAAACTATCTAAACTATCTAAACCCCCCTGGTTTAGATAGTTGAGATAGTCCCCAAAAAAAGGAACGCCACATAATACATAAAGGTTCCTGCCTCATATATATATATATATATACATTGAATGATATTGATTTGGCACATGTTGCAGGCAGGTATGCAACTCCTTCGTTTGCATCAGGTTATGGTGCAGGGATTGTTTACTTACGGCGGCCACCTTGCTGGCTTCGTGAGCAGCAATCCGCTGAATTGCCGGCCCCAAGATGCGGCTTGGCAGCATGCGATAGTTGGTCACAAAGAGATCTGTGCATTGGGAATCCATTTGCCTGTGTCTGGTTACCGATGCAGGTCAGGTCATATGCACGGCAGTCCTGTTTTTTTCCAGGCGTTCAAGACGAGCTTGGTGACCATCATGGACTCCTTGCAGGTGTGTCGTGACACGAAAGTTCCTTTCCTTCATGTGTTTGGTGTACACATACCTGCTGATGGATCAGGTTCGTCGTCGAACGAAAGAGCTGGTCTACGACGAGGTCCTTGCGTGCAAGTCAGAGCCTCCTCTGCAATATGTTATCTTTTCTGCAATGAGACGGGATGCTCTTTGTGCGAAGGACTGGATTCTGACAAGCCTGGCGTTTGCCGGGGCCGGGTTCAACATCCAACTTCTCGGCAGTGATGGCTTTGCATCAAACTTCTATGTGTACGCACGGGTACTCGGGGATTAACTCACACCTAGATGCTATGTGGTTCTGGCATCGTCTGACAGGTGTGAATACATTGCTGTGGCCGCTGATAATTACAGCGAGGGGGGCCATGGCAATGATGCAGCCACGCGCAAGGCGAAGGAAGACCAGGCCAACAAAGTCCTCCTCAAGTGCTTCGGCGTGTCATCCGTGAAGGACGAATCGAAACAAAGGGGTATGGGTGCTTTGTTTGTTGCTCTTGTTCTTCGTTGTTGCTTCTTGTGTGAGCAACTTGTCTCAAATTTACAGTTGGTGTTTTGATGCCTCACGAAGGAGACGGGCGGCCGGACTTCCATCAATTGGCAGCGGAGGAAGGGCCGGATCGTGTACCACGTTCCACTGCACACATGCACACACACACAGTCAGCATCTCTATTTTCTTATTCTCTTATTCTCTCTCTCTCTCTCTCTCTCTCTCTCTCTCTCTCTCTCTCTCTCTCTCCCTCTCTCTCCCTCTCCCTCTCCCTCTCTTTCTTTCCCTTTCTCTTTTTTTTCCTGTCTCCTCCGGAACCCCCTTCGACCTTCCTGGAGCCTACCGAGAGCCTTCCGGCAGATTTGCCCGAAGCTTCCCGCAAATTTCCCCACCTTCCCGGAACTTTCACCACCCGCCCAGTTTTCCAGAACCACGCCCTGCACTCGACGGCTCTCCCGACTATGGACCATGTTTTTGTTCCCGGATAAACAAAAACATGTTCCGGGACAGTCAGCCCCCCTCTCAAAAGAGGGATGCTGCCGCGGCGTCCCAAACCGCGGCCCCCGTCCAGGGATGCAGGGTTCGGAGCCGCCCCATTTCTTGGACGGCTCCCAGGGCCTCGCCCTGCGCAAAGCGTCATCGGGGGGCCCGGCATTACTGATAATCGCCCGTGGGTAGCCCGGTAGCCCTACACAGTCGGGCACCCCCCTCGGCTTCGCTGGACCGCCGCCGCGGCCCCAGAGCCTCGCCCCACATGGAGGGTCACGGGCCCCAGGACCACAGCTAAGCGTGCCCTTCGGGATTGAGGGTTCGGAGCCGCCCCATTTCTTGGACGGCTCCCAGGGCCTCGCCCTGCGCAAAGCGTCATCCGGGGGCCGAACGTTACTGATAACCGGGACCCTCCACAGCATCGGTTTGCAGCTCCTCCAAGCGTCAGAAAATTTTGCATAGGCTGCTTGGCCAAAGTCCTCTGAATACAAACAGTCTAGAATGTTGCGGATAAGTTGCCTTTTGGATCAATCGTTTGTGCAAGCAGTCAAGGTGGTGGAGGTATCTTGCTACAGAGCTTGGTCTTGAACATTTACAAGAATGACTTTGAAGGCATTTACATTTTCTCCCCGACCGCTTCAGTTGACGAAAACTGGATTCCAGCAAAGCGTGATATACTTGATCATTTGAGATGACAGACGGCGATTTTGAAAAGTATCTGTTTGATGATTATGATCCAGCAGAGTTACGGAGCATCATAGACACTCAGCATACAGTAGTTGAATACCAAAACAAGGACAAAATTAACCAGAAACATATTTTCAGCGCTTGTCGCCATTGGTGATCTTGCAGAAGACCAGCGATTTCTGAAACATTCTAAGATCTTTCACGGTTTGTATACAAAATCCCGTCACAATGCAATATCAGTTCTAACATCGGTTCAGAAATGCAATGCCGTGGTTCCTATAATTCGCTTAAGTCTCGTTCTTTATACATTTTCAAGTTAAGAAACATGTGCTCATGTAAAAAATAATTGGTGATTTGGGGGTGTGGGGGATGATGTGGTATGCTCTTAGAGAAAGTGGTTGGGGAAAATGGGTGGAAAGTTGAGTTTTTTGTGTGTGAGGGGGGGGTATATGTGCGGTGCCATATGCCTTTCTTTCTAGGAAAGGTCGAACTGTCTCTAGGCATGTTGGTCTCCTTGGCATGATGGGAGCAGTCGAAGCGACACGCACTGCACGCACGGGTTTGATTAGGGGTCTGGGAGCATCGTCACTTTAGTCTGAGTCTTTTCGTGTTTCTGCAAAGCGTGTTTGGTTGCAGGTAGAAGCTTTGCAGTTCTGGATGGCGCAGCCTCCACTGATTGAGCTCCAGCGGCCCTTCCCCAAGATCGTTTTTTGGGGCGTGTAAAGGATCTGGGGTGTTAGATAAAGTGAGATGATTGTCAGAATTTGAAGAGTTGGGTAGTTTCGAGATCATAGTCGCGCATCCCGTCCTCGGCCCCATTTTTGGCTTGGCGGTAGCGCCAGCAACCCCACCTGATGAAGCCGACAGTTCATGATTCCCGTGTGCTACCAGGTCCTTGGGCGGTTCGAATCAACAGCAAGCCCAAACTCGTCACTGGAAAACGATGAATACAACATAACCAATCAACGACAAACACCCCACAAACACACACATGCACACGCTCTCTCTCTCTCGCGCTCTCTCACTCCCTCTCTCTCTCTCTCTTTCTCTCGCTCTGTCTCTCTCTCTCTCTCGCTCTGTCTCTCTCTCTCTCTCTCTCTCTCTCGCTCCTTCCCTCCCTCCGTCCGAACCTACACAACCCCAAGCTACATAAACATTGGGCCCGCAAACTCTCCACCCTTTCAGCGGGCATGTGCCGTACCCCTCGCTGCGTGAACCGCCGGAATGATCCCTTCACCGACTTCCCTCAGATAAACCCGTGCAGATCCCCAAACCTCAACCTCCCAACCCCCCCCACACCCAAAAAACCTTAAAACCCTAAACTCTGTACAGAAACCCGAATCACCCCTAAGCTGTGGGAAGTCTGTGGCGGAGGTCCCGGCCCTTGGCCCGCCACCTCCTCGCTCAGCTCTCCGCAGAATCACCGCAAGAAGCCGAGGCGGGGTGTGCCTTAGGCCCCCCTACAGGGATGCACTAGGTCACTAGGCTCCATGGGGTTGAAGGTGGCTTGATTAAGCATCCCTTCTTTTCGGTCCTAATCCAAGACACCTTCGGGTCCGGAGCCAGGGGAAGCCGAGACCTGAGGGCGGAACGCCGAGCTGGGTGAAAGGTGGCGAAATGTACAACCTCAGAACCTCATGACTCCCATATAGCCTCTCAACCACAGCGTACACCGCAGGAGTGGCTCGACAAGATGCTCTCTTCGGGCCTCGAAGCTGACAAGCGGCTTGCCGTGAAACGCAGGGCTTGCAAGTTTGCAGCTCATCTGGGGTTTATGGGGTATCTCGAGCTGCGCTGAGGACATGCTTCTCTTGCATTGCGGAAGCCTGGCTTTCAGCGGGCAACTTGCGCCGGTCTGCTGCCATAGTGGATCGGATGATCGCACAAGGCCCAGGAACCCGGCTAAAAAGAGAAATCGGCACGAGCAAGATGCTGCCTTTGAGACTCAGCAGAGCTGTGCCCGCCTGGGAAGCCGTGATGACAAGGGGACCATATACATAGTGTGCATAATTCTCATGAATGATGGCCGTGATACTCGAAGTTTCTTGTCTGTCCGGTACGGGTTCGCAACATCTCACACGACGGGCAGGCTTCATGCCACCGCGAGAGATGACCGCCGCTGTTCTGTTGGCGGGGTACGACGAGGACTCTCAAGCAGCTGCCACTCTGGCTGCAGCGCGAATTCTCGACCAAGCGTGTGCCAGACGGGCAGGCAATTTCCAGAATTGCCCGTGGGCAGAGCATTCGGCTGTGTGGCCACACACCTAGTGTGCCTAAAAGTCCAAGCTGCAGCCAAGGCTTCCAGCGAAGCAAACGCAACTGCCCGCATCTCGCAGCTGGCGCAGACTGGCAGGCCTCAACAGGCTCGGCCTTCTCGTATCTTCTGGTGCGCGTGTCCTGCTGCTTCCTGGGATCTGGCATACTCGATTCAGTCTGAGTGGTCTCAGTGGTCTCAGTGTCAGGCCGCACAGATCCTGCTCGAGGAGCTGGCCGCCAGCCGTGCGATCGAGCCCTCCGCCTTTGACACACTCATCGCTGCCTTTGCTACCCAGGGCTGCGCAGAGGACATCCCTATAGCTGAACGGAATACCAACACACCGTCACTAAGTTGATCGTGCATCTACATCATCAGCAGCAGCAGCAGCATCATCATCATCATCATCATCATCATCATCATCATCATTGAAAGTCGGGCAACGCCCGCACACAAAGAGGTGGTTTGACTTCGAGGCATGGGTCCGACAGCAACAGCCCAGGGCCAGCTTCATGCCGAGCTCCATGAAACGTCGCTTGAAATGCCATGAAGTAGGCTCAACTCAGGCTCTCGGAGTGCGCCTCTATACCTGTGGGAAGTGGTCCTTGGGGCTTTGAGTTGATCAGGGTTTCGGGCTCATGGCCTCCCAGTGCCCTTTGCAGGAAGCCACTGAATGGTTCCATCGAATGGCTGCATGTGGTTGCAAGCAAGGCCGGGTACACGAAAACACAGATCAGCCAAGATTGACTGCGTGCGGCATTTCCCAGCCACTGGAGCTTTTTGATTTCTGCTGCGGCCTATACTGCATTCCTTGGTGTCTAGCCGCTGTCTGCTTTCTTTGTGCAAAAACACGGGTGCTGTCACTCGCTTTGGCTGACCTTGCATCGAAGTATATGTTATGAAACTACCTTCGAAGCCTCGACCAAGACAAGAAGCCCTCTCAGCCCTGAGGAGTCAAGGCCTGCTCCGCCCTGGTCACTGCCTGGACTGTGCGCAGGGACGCTGCGAAAGCTGCAGAGGTGCTCCAAGAGCTGGAAGACTCTTGGCTCGGGGGGAGGGAGGGGGGGGGGGGGGGCAGTTGCGGGCGTTTCGGGAGTTTCGGGCTTTGCTGGGCTTGGGTGTTTTTGGCGCAAGCCTCGGTCTGATGTTCATTCTTTCGGAAGTTTTGGAATCAAAGTTCTGCTGCCTTCACACTCTTTCCATGCTCTGCCACGATGCAGCCACTCTGTGAACGAGTTCTGAGACAGAGGGAGCTGAATCCGTGTCGACCGGAGGCGAAGATAGCCATTCGAGTTTTGCTTGGGCGTAAATCTAAGGAGCATGGCAAGGATTTGGACCAATACGCCTACACAAGCGTAATCAGCGCCTTCGCGGACAAAGCGAACACTACCGCCGCCAAAGACCCTTGATTGCCCTTTCGGTGCGATGATCCAGAGGATCGAGGTCTAGGGCATTTCTGAGGGCCGATGCCTTAGGTGACTGCAGTCCGTTGAGAGCTCACTTGAATACTCTGACGCCTTTGTGCAGGGGCCGGTTTGTGCACCCCTACAAACTAAACCCTATTCAACAAAAACATAATTCCCACGCCACTTACAGGACTGGTTCGATGGTATGGCTCGCAAAGGCTTCACGCCTGATGTGGCCGTCTCTTGGCTGTTGGGTGAACCAGTGGCAAAGCAATTGCTAGAATACTCCCCTAAACCCCAAACCTTAAGCCCTAAACCCCTGTCCTTGAGTCTTAGCTATGGGAAAGGAGCATGATGAAACATGCTTCACTGAGCCCAAAGCAGAATTCCATGTACACTGCGGCCTGAGGGCAAATACTATCCCACTACCCTCAACAAAAGAAGTTGGGTCGTAGGCTTACAGGGCCGCGCTAGGCTTCACCCGTCTCAGGCTGCAAATGCAGTGCTGAAGTCCTTGGTGCAGACGAACCTTAGTGCCGCGCAAAGCTGGCTCCAATCCATGCCGCAGCAAGAGCTGTCCCCGAGTCTGAGCTGAATCTTCACAGCAGCTTCTCGCCATTCATGTCTTCTGCGCTGGATGAAGTGCTGCCGTGGAGATTGATGCAAGTCGAAATTTGTTCTGCTCGACGCGAGTCTTTTGAGTGTATACAGTATAGTCAAGTCACTATATCACACTATCACTCCTAGCTATCATATTACATATTTCTCAGAGGTGCATGGCTGAGTCCGTCTCCAGCGCGTGCTTTTCAGAGCATGTAGCTTGGGCATCAGGGCAGAAGATCGCGCACCACACGCAGGTGTCGAAGGCATCGAACCGAATACAATCGCTCACCTCTGCAGAAATGGTCCATCCCCATGACCTTGCCTTCCGTCCACCCGGCGCTTGGAAAACGCCCGCAAGAATGCTCCGGAGGAAGGTGTGCGCAGTAGCTGCATATGTCGTGCCATTGACAACAGACTCGAACATGCATAGAAGGTCTGTCGACGTCTGTGATCTGTAGACCAACCTTGTCCAACCTTACAAAACATTATAACACAATCGGTTCCTTGCCGCATGTCTTCGCAAGCAGCATGCGAACCATTCCGAAGGCAGCTCTGCGACAACAGTGAATTCCTCAACCAAAGCCCCGTTTCGAGCCGTTACTGCAAAGTCACGATAAGTCCAAGTGCAGCTGAGAAAGGACTGCGGTATCATACACTACCCTCCTGGGCTGCCTGGCTGGAGTTGCGGGGCTTTCGGAGGGATGCGAGTGCTGAAAGATTTTCGGGGCCTTCAGGACAGGTCCCTCCCCCCCCTTTTCCGTTGCTTGCCTTGTGGACCAAGGTGGCCTAGCACAGGCTGGAAGGGAGGACGAGGTCCAGACGTGGATAGAAAGGATGCGGCCCGGCGCAGACACACATGCAGACTCCGAAGCGCTACATAGCTGCGTGCAGCTGCACGGATGCTGCATTTTGGGCATTGAACAGTGCAAAGCTATACATGTTGAGCAATGAGCTGTGTAATGTAGCATATAGCTTCGCTTCTGGTGTTCGGACCCACAACTGACGAAACATCACGTATCATGATGTGCTCTCGTGCGCTCAGGCGAGATGCTGGCTACCCACCACAGGTTGTGACTTACAATGACCCTCAGCATCAGCAGAGAGAGCCACTGTTTGTGCATGCGTAGCAGCAGGTGCACAGGCCTCTGACGGGCACGCTGTGTTACACTCTCTCTCGATGCTAGCACGGTCATGTCGATGGTCCACAAACATCTTAACAAGCTCGTTCGTGACGCTGTAGGTCAGTTCATTGAATAGACTGAATTCGCAGATGGTCAGAGGGCAGACACATCCTGGGCTCTGAGGCAGTCATCGGTGGATTTAGCAAGCAGCGCATGCTGACGCAGGCAGGATGCGCTGATGCGGCGTTAAATTACTGTTAAACCGTCAGCAAGGCATCACCTACGGTAGCTATGGAGTCAAAACAGGCAACCTCAAGGTGAGCGCAGGAGAGCCACAATGGATATAGCACAGTTCTAGCGGCAGCATCCGGCAGAACAAGTAACAACTGTATTCGTCGCAGTTGTGGGTCAAAGGGGTACTGTAAGCTCGGCGGCTTTCAAAGTATCAGCGCTGTTGCTGGTGGTGGCGTCGTCATCGCGGTTCAGAGTCAGACGCAGATCACAAGACTGAAGGCAAGAGCAACCGAATGGAAGCATGGACATCAAGTTAAGCATGGGATAAGACACCGTGCCAATCTGCAGGGCCTCTCACTTCCTGAGCGCATTGGTCCGAGGCCGAGGCCTGGTACCAAGAATTACGTGGTGCCAGAGTACACCCGAACGTGATGACGTACAATCGGCGACTTGGCGCTTGAACTGGTGGCCAAGAGGGCTGTTCGTGGTGGCACTGTCTGGTATTGTCCAGTGATACTGGTATATACTGGTGCTCCGACCAAGACTCATCCACGGCTCTCTGCCAGAAGTTGAGCGAGCGAGCGGTTGGCCCGGCCCCAATGATTTTTTGCAGACTGCATAGCTGCGCGGCAACTTCGCAACCTCTTTTCTTTTCGTGAGTTGAACTGGAGGTTCAAGGAGATGCGGCTCCAGACAGTCGAGCCGGATGTAGTCTCCTACAACTCCATCATCCACTGTTGCGCCGAGGCCAGCATGCGAAGGTCCTGGCATGTGCATAAATATATTAAATTATTATATTTATATATTTTAAGGGGCTGCGCCCATGGGCGGGCAGCGCACGCAGAAGCCCGGGGCGAGCAGTTTCTAAGCATGTTGAGGCCCCTAAACTCCCTTAAAATCTCTAAGCGTTAAGTTTCTAAGCATTTTCAGGCCCCTAAACTCCCTTCAAATCTCTAAGCGTTTGAGGCTCCTAGACTCCCTTAACGTTTCTAAGCACTTTATAAGGCCCCTAAACTCCCTTTTTCCTAGCCCCGGGCTTAGACACGTCGCTTATGCCCGCCCTTTGGGGGGCATCATGCTCCTGATGCGCCCCCGGGGTCCCGCCCCGGGAGCCGCTGATGCTCCTGATGCGCGCCTGGGGGTCCCGGGCTGGACCCGCTGATGCTCATGATGCGCGCCCTCTGGGGGCCTCCGTGGCGACGCAAAAAACCACGAAAAAAAAACCGTTCACCGCCGGCACGCGGGGGTCGGCGGCACTGGCGTCCGGCCTAATTCTGCTTCGCAGAAGGCCAAAGGCCAGCAAGGCTATTCCCGGGACGACCCGGGCTAAAAGGTCCGCATTTGCTCGGTCCTTTGGGGACCTCGCGCTGCCCGATCCTAGACTCCCTTAACGTTTCTAAGCACTTTATAAGGCCCCTAAACTCCCTTTTTCCTAGCCCCGGGCTTAGACACGTCGCTTATGCCCGCCCTTAGGAAGGCATCATGCTCCCGATGCGCCCCCGGGGTCCCGCCCCGGGAGCCGCTGATGCTCCTGATGCGCGCCTGGGGGTCCCGGGCTGGACCCGCTGATGCTCATGATGCGCGCCCTCTGGGGGCCTCCGTGGCGACGCAAAAAACCACGAAAAAAAAACCGTTCACCGGCGGCACGCGGGGGTCGGCGGCACTGGCGTCCGGCCTAATTCTGCTTCGCAGAAGGCCAGAGGCCAGCAAGGCTATTCCCGGGACGACCCGGGCTAAAAGGTCCGCATTTGCTCGGTCCTTTGGGGACCTCGCGCTGCCCGATTTAATGGCTACCGCCAATGCCGCCGACCCCGACAGGAGGCCCTAGGGTTTACACAAACACCCCCTACATTGCGCTTACATATATCCATAGGTTCTAGAGTTCAGGGGGGGGCGAAACATTGAGTCTTCACGCGCAGGGAGTTGGCGCGCAACCTTAAACCCTAAACCTCACACCTTAAACTCGAAACCCTGAACCCTTAAACCCCAAACTACTAAACCCTCAACCCCCTTAACCAGGAGAGCCGAACCGGGGTGAGGTGGGGGGTAAGCGGTGATGGCGGGGGGGTGGGGGGGGTTGGGGGCAGAGGTGAAGGGGTGAAGGCGGGGGCGGGGCAGGGGTGGGCGGGGTGGGCGGGGGGGGGCGGGGGGGGTCCGGGCATGCACTGCAGCCCCTCAAAAACTTCATTTCCAAGCAAAAGGCAAGGGGTAGGGGTGAGGTGGGGGGTAGGGGTCCGGGCATGCCCTAAACCCCTGACACACTTCATTTCCAAGTAAAAGGTCAGGGGTAGGGGTGAGGTGGGGGGTAAGGGGTGAGGGCGGGGGGGGGTGGGGGGCAGGGGCCAAGGTTGGGGGCAGAGGCGAAGGGGTGAGAAGGGGTGAGGGGGCGGGGGGGGGCGGGGGGGGCGGGGGGGGCCGGGGGGGGGCGGGGGGTCCCACATTTTCCAAGTAAAAGGCAAGGGGCAGGGTGAGGTAGGGTACCCGGCATGCCCTAAACCCCTGACACCATCATTTCCAAGTAAAAGGTCAGGGGCAGGGTGAGTGTGGCGGGGGGAGTGGGGGGTGGGGTTGGGCGGGGGTGGGGGGGGGGGGGGTGGGGGGGGTCCGGGCATGCCTGGAGCCCTCAAACACCATTTCCAAGTAAAGGCAAGGGGGGGTGAGGGTTGGCGGGGGTCCCTGCCCTAAACCCCTGACACACTTCATTTTCCAAGTAAAAGGTCAGGGGTAGTGAGGTGGGGTTGGGGGTAGGGCGGGGGGGGGGGGGGGGGGGCGGGGCAGAGGCGAAGGGGAGGCGGGGGGGGGCAGTGTGTGGGGGGCGGGGGGCGGGGGGGGGCGGGGGGGGCTGGGGGGGTCGGGCATGCACTGGAGCCCACTTCATTCCAAGTAAAAGGCAAGGGTAGGGGTGAGGTGGCGGTAGGGGTCCGGGCATGCCCTAAACCCCTGACCACTTCATTCCAAGTAAAAGGTCAGGGGTAGGGGTGAGGTGTGGGTATAAGGGGAGGGTGGGGGGGGGCGGGGGCCAAGGTGGGGGCAGAGGTGAAGGGGTGAGAAGGGGGGCGGGGGGCAGTGGGCGGGGTGGCGGGGTGGCGGGGGGGGGGGGGGGGGCGGGGGGGGCGGGGGGGGGCGGGCATGCACTGGAGCCCCTTCATTTCCAAGTAAAGGCAGGGGTAGGGGGGGGGGGGGGTAGGGGTCGGGGCATGCGGGAGCATTTAAGTAAAAGGTCAGGTAGGGGGAGGGTAAGGGTGAGGTGGAGGTGGGGCAGGGCGGGGGGTGAGAAGGGGTGGCGGGGGGCGTGGGCATGAGGCCTAAATGGGTCGGGAGCGTGGGGGCGGGGGGGGGCGGGGGGGGTGGGGGGGGTCTGGGCATGCTTCATTTCCAAGTAAAAGGTTAGGGGGGAGGGGGGCATGCGCTGGAGCCCCTAAGAGGGTAAGGGTGAGGTGGAGGGGGTGAGGGCGGGGGGGTTTGGGCATGAGGGCAAATGGGTCTTCACTGACGCCTCCCCCGCTAAAGCAGGGGTCGGCGGATATATTTATGTATACATATGTTTTTGTGTATATATATATATGTATATCTCTCTCTCTCTCTCTCTCTCTCTCTCTCTCTCTCTCTCTCTCTCTCCTGTATAAGGACCAGGCCGCAGCTGGACAAAAGAAGGTGTGTGATGGTGCAGATGCCGCAGGTTTTGGCTCCCGCACCAGGACTGGCAAAGGTTGGTGCCCAAAATGTGCCTCAAGAGGGGTGCGAAGGGCTTCCACGTTGATTGCCATGGGGCGCGGCCCAAGCCTCTTTCAGACCATCTGGCTCCTTGGGGTGTTGTTTGGAAGCAAACTCGACAAGCACACGCTGTATGTGTTCTGAGTGAGATGCACCGAAGCTAAACGTTGTCATAGGCAGCTTTCTTGGGCTCTGCTGCATTGTTGCAGATCGAAAGCATATATGTAGCTGAGTGCATCCAAGGCTTTTTCCTGCGTGTCCTCCTGCTGAAGGCACCAAGCCATACCTGGATCCCCGATGGCTTCGGCACGCTGCTATGAGCTTCACCCACCTTTACGACATGCCGGCAACCTCAGACACCAGACTTCAGGATAACACCCTTTCGATGCATCCTCCCTGAAATGACTTTGTTGCTTGTGTGCTGATCCTTCCTCCTTTGCGGATGCCAGAGTGGACACGCGCTTCCGTGACCCAAATTCCTGTGGTAAAAGCGTAGCAGATGCTGCCGGCGCAATACAAGGCGCGAGAGCTTGGCATGTGCTTCATTCAGTTCCACAGATACATAGGTCGCAGGTAAGGGAATCCAGAACACGCTTGTCTACGGCTTCAACGGCTTCAACCAAAATCACGTACCGCCTGTGGACATCACTGCGCACAAAACACATCCACCTCGCAGATATCCCAAGACCCAACAAAAACCTTGTTTGTCCGAGGAGGACGTTCTTCTCTGGCGCAAGTCTTGCGACGGCTCTGAGTGCGAGTACTACAGCGTGGGAAACGGCTACTGCTTGATGAGGCCCTGTAGTGCAGGGTTATCCCACCCACGAGCACATGCGGGTCTTGATTGTGGTTTTTCAGTTCTTCTAGTCATAGTGGCTGAGGACTTCTGACCACCAGGAGATGCAGCGTCTGCAGATGATGGAGAACGAAGAAGCCAGCCTCTTATGTTTTTCCTTCACAGAAGGCTTGAGTCTTCGGGTGTCTTTGCGTGCAGTTGTCAAGTCACACCTGGAAGAACCGCAAGTCAACTCACCAGCTGAGGTGGCGAGGCTAGCTAAGAGCGGCATCCGGCTAGGCCGGGATTGCGGGCCTGGCGTGGTTTTAGGCAGGGCTTTGATGTGTACGGGCGTATGAGGAGGAGTGTTGATCAAGTCAAGCCTTTGAGCATGCTTAGCGGCAGACTTGAACCCCAAAGAAAGCTTGAACTCTACAGGTGCCCCTCGTAGACCTTAACCCTAAGATTACATGCAGAGAGGGAGTAGCAATGCGCCCTGAAAGCAGGGAATGGAGTGGGGGAAACCCCTATAACACTTGCTGGCTTGGCATGCAGAAGGAAATTTCGGAGAGATGCCCACTCGCAGCTGTAAAACACCAGAAGTTTGCCGAAGCTGCAGATACTGCTTCCGCCTCGGGGCGCGCCTCTGCTCCGCCAGCCACTTCGGCCTGAATGCTTCTGCGTTGATTCGTGTTTTGCATCTTGGAGAGCTTCTTGCACTACCTGAACCCTACAAAGCCTTGAGAGCCCTAAGCTTGCATGTCGTCATCTCTGCATGTCTTGCTTTACGCTCCCGTTGGTCCCTTGATGTTGCAGCGGACTCGGACCCGCAACCAGCAATGGAGTCTAAGAGATTTGCCAGGAGCTCAAGGCCACAACAAGTTGAGATCTGCAAGGGAAACCTGCCCGGGAACCAAACAAGAACAATTTCGATGAATGTCGAACACGAGCAAATGCCTCAGGCCTAAATACCAGGAACCGCCCGTGAGCCTGTTGACGGCAAATGGAGTTTTCGCCCATCTGCTGGGGACACAGCCAATGAAGAATCTGAATGTTAAGAACTCAGGCCGCTTTGCCGCAGCATGCCGCAACTGTCTGAAGCATTCTGAACCTTCTGCATGGTTAGGGATGACTCGACGAAGGAATCGCCCAAAAAGATGTCCTTATTTTCCGGAAACCCCGGTTTGTGGGTCTTGGGATGACTGAGGTGTGGCTGATTCCATCCAACTGTCGCGTCCGGAGTTTGGGACCCACACCACCCCAGATCTGGCAAGACCGCCAGAACAGGACCTTGCTCTGAGAGTTCGCTTCGTTTTCTGATGACGCATCCAGGAGTCGAGTCTATGCCAGTATGTTTCCTCTGCGATGTTGGCCACGACTCTAGGGCATGATACGGAACTGTACCATCTGTACCCTTCAGTGCGTTCCGAGCAGTTCCGAGCAGTGATTTGTCCATTACCCGTATTGCGTCAGATGTCTTGTCAAAGTCAGTTTCTTTCTCTGGAAACCCTTCATACTTGACATGTTTCATGGCTTCACCCATTCCAATGTGGGCACTAAGTAGGTTGCTATCGTATGTACATGTATGCTGGAAACACCTTGATGCGGCGTTGGACGGTTGGACGCAACAGACTGAGCAACAAAACCCAAACACTTGGAGACCTGCGCACAGCCGAATGTCTTTGATCCTCCACCCCCTGGTTCCTTTTGCATGGTATCCACAGACTTCCGGATTTCGGGTTTTGAGTTTGGCGCTCGTGCCCACTGTATCCCCAAGTATCACTTGCCGGAATCACGGCATCGCAGAAGCTTCTCTCGTGCAGGACGACCCCTGCAGAAGCTTGGCCGGTGGAAGTTCAGCTCTTTCACTGCCCGAAGACCGTGCCCTTAGCCATCCTCACGGCGCACCCATTGGCATGCTACCAGGGTGTAATTTGAAGAACCTGAAACCTGTTCCTTTCCTGTGTGTCACCCAAGACAGTCCGATTATAAGTTGTTATGATAAATAAACCTTCGCCAAATCAGTGTCTGGGCTTTTGACGTATGGGTTTAAGCTTTGGGGCTCTTGGGGTGGGAAAGACTCGGGTTGATTCACGTTAGGCTAATGCATTTGCACTCTACGAGCCGGATCAACACCATAAGCCTTATACGACCCGGAGGTGCCCAAATGCGGGACAACATCCACAATCAACTGGGCATTGCAGATGGAAGGCCACATAAATTTGAAGCATTGTTTGTTCGGAAACAAAAACTCATCTCTGACTCAAGCTCGAGTTGACGACAGAGGTGAGGAGGACCTTCGCGCACTGGTACATGGAGCCAGTGTATTTTTGCGACATCAAGGAGCCTCGACTCAAGCCGTTCGCAACCGAATGCTTTGCAGCTCTTTCGGACGGGTGTATCAAACTCTTAAGCCCCCCAAACTCAACGGATGTAAGCATTGGCAGGTCCTGGAGAGTTTTCCGAATCCTTCATGGTCCCGGAGCTGCAGAGGGCGGCAGCTGACGGCGCCGTCCCGACGCTCGAATCGCGCGAAGTACGATCAGCAGCGATGGGTGACGCGTCGCTTTCTTGGCGCCTCCTTTGGGCGATGTCACCTTCCCGAGGCATGCCAAAATGTCGGGTGAGGACTGGAGCAATGCCATGATGTGCCTCCGCCAGCATATGAGCCAAAGTATCGACACTGATGGACCCTGATGAAGGCGGCAGCATCATGAAGAGAGACGCGAGATGACCGTGCAGACCGACGCCACGGGGCACAGCTAAGGTACAGGGCAATCCACCGCTACAAGCCGGGAGCTGAAGCCTGTATGCAAGTTGGTCTACGGGACTCCATCTGCTCAAGGAATTGCACGAATGATGCTTTTAACATTCCGTAGTTTGTGAGAGAAGAAACCCAAATACATCTCACTCGCAGACCACCACTGACTTGGCTCAACCGCCGGACAACAAGTCTACTTCGGCGCATTCTCAGGAAGAAAGGCAGTGTGATGGTTGTTAGGAATGTTAGGGGCCGGGCACAGGGCAGGGAGAGGCTGCAGATTTAGTCAAGGGCTTGGCATTTAGGAGAATTACAGATCAGGGCCAGTCTGCATTGCCTGTCCAAGGAACAGTATGATGAGAGAGTGTCTGTGGACAGGGAGTTCCTTCCGCCGGCGCACCTGTGCCCGTCGCTTTGCCAGTGGCAAGTTTCTGCAAGTCCAGCATTGGTCGACCGTAGATGATTCCAGCCAAGGTTTTGCTGCCTGTACGGACATGGTCGACAGCATGTGGTTTTGGCCAGAAATCCATACGTAAGGACGGGTGGGAGCGATCAGCGGCACTGATGGTCGTGAATTGGGAACGGTTCTTGTCATAAAAGCCCAAAGGCACACTGCCTGTCCTCGTCAGGATGACATCGTACTTTCGGTTCTCATGGCTGAACAACGTTGCGGTCTGGGGCAAGCACAAATGGACAGCCTCTCCACTTCTCAGTGTAGTTGTGCATCCGGTGAGATGGTTGCAAGACTGAAACAAGATGTTGCGACTGCAGCTGCCAGGACGACCTGGGAAGGTTTTAGAGAATGGTTAGCGAGTCTTGGCTGCCATGTCCACGTCGTCGAGCAGCCTGCGAAGAGTTCAACATTTGTTGGACCGTGTGCCCCTAACACCAAGGTTCGTGGTGCATGCTCGCAGCATTATGCCGGGAGGGTTTGCCAATGGCTACTTGACTTGATCGCACAGATGCAGATGCACTTCTGATCGACTGTATGAATCTGGCACGGAAGACCGGCAGCTGTGAGTTTTTGTAGTAAATGCTGATGCTCAGGTCTGCAATGGGCCTGTGACTCAGTAGGGGAATTTCAGAGCCTCCGGCCAGCGCTGCGGAGCCCTCTAAGCGGCGGGGGCTACAGTGAAGCCGGGACATACTCGGGTGTCAGAAAGCCATTGCAGCATGGCAAGGTCTGCTGCGTGCTTGCCAATTGGTGCCAGACATCTTTGAATGCTCCTTTACGATACTCCCACAACAAGTCAGGTGCTCTGGCCATCCACTAGTGTTTCGCGACCGAGTTCACTACTCTTGCCACCTCTCGGACAAGTGGAAACCCACCCCCAGCATACATAGTCTGAGACCAGAATGTATAGGGAGGTCCGGGACTTGGGACCCGGCAGCTCTCAGCTGCGTGTCACTTGCGAGGCATGGCACGGGCCGGCTACGGAGGAATGGCTCATGTTTTGATTGTTTGAGTTTTTTCGTGCCGGTGTGAGGGAGGGGAAAGTTCCCTTCCCAGAACCATCCAACACGCCTCCCAAAATCGGCGGATAAATTGCAGGATGGCCACCCAAAGGCCCAAAAAAGGGACCCTAAGCCCTTTCCTCAAGAAAGGACCCTTTTGCCCTGCTTCTTGAGGCCAAAAACATCCACCAGTCTTGCAGCCAAAGTTCTCCGCGGCTTCCTGGCACCGCTCTCCACCCGTTTGTGTGTCGCCAGCCCAGTTGCTCCCGGTTGATGTTACAGGTCTAATGGCTTTTGGGTTGAGGGCGATTCCTGGAACGTTTAAACTGCTGATTGTGCGAGGCGAGACCAAGTTTTATTCCCTTTCAGCGGAAGACATCTTCCACATACGTCCGTTGAGCGTCGGGGGTCTCAGATGTTGCAGTGTTCAGGGCGCATGTTGGCACATACTGGGAGATGGTTCACTTTCACTCTCCTGGCCTGCTCCACAGGACATGGTGCATGACGAGCGCTTCCTGGCCGGGTCTTCTTTTCTGGACACCGCAGTGGCCACTTGCAAAAGTTGTGAATGGGGAAGAACTTCCAGCAACCGATGTATCTTTTGATAAGCTGAGCTGAGGTCCTGCATCTGGAGACGCTGCACGACGACATTGCAATGCTTGATGATGTGCTTTGCAGGAGGCGCATGGTGCCTAAACTGCTACATACATCCGCATCCAAGAGGACACGCAGATAGATCGTTTCGGGAGCGCCCTCTCTCTATGTTGACTTCCAAGTGCTCACTGCTGAGTGATGCAGGTTCTCTTTCTGTGGTCAGTTGCCGCCGTTTCCGCAAGTGCTGCCTGGTAAAAACATCCGGGACAGCATGCTCGACACTTGGCTTGCATAACAAATGCTTGCCTTTGCGGAAGCAGGACCTTTGACAGCGAAAGGAAGACTTAAGGGAGAATAGGAGGGACCCTTAGGAGGACCACCTTGTGTAGATCCTTACTGGCTTCAGGTCTACGGGGAGCTACTGCATGATCAGACCCTCTGTAGCCTAGATCCACTCCCAGGTTCAGGGCTGTAGGGTTCAGTCTCGCCTTTTTTTCCCAACACGCGGCTCAGCTTGTTTGCCACAGGTTCCCCCCCCATAGCATCAGAATGAAGCCGCCATAAAGATCAAGAGTCCTCGTTGAAATGGGCAGCTGTGCACTTGGACACAGCGTCGCGGGTTTGGCAGTCAGGACGGTGCCATCAAAGAGCACTGCAGCTTCAGTGAGAAGACGTTGCAGTGGCGGAACTGCACGGCTCCTGCCTGGCCGGAGAAGCTTGGAATTCAAAAAATGGCAGCTTGCACTGGCACGATTGCACAAGCCATCACAAGTCTGAAGCGTAGGGGAAAGAAGCAGAGCGTGATTCGACATGATCGATGAAAGCCTGCAGAATGAGGCTGTGGACGCCATCGCTGAGAAGCCTGATGATCGAACACTACGGCGACGACTTCAGATGGCTTGGGTACTCCACGGATCCACGTCATCTGATGCCGATGGATGCGAAAATAGAGTGGGAGCAGCTTGCTTCGGGTTGTGCAGGTCAAAGCAGACGTCTGGGTATATTGCCTCTCTTCAGCTCTCTTGCCTCATATCCCCTAAGGCCTGCCCTCTGTGCCCTCAAAGCCCAAAGCCAGGCAGCGCAGCCTGCCTTGGCCCAGCGCTGGCTCCGTGCCATGGAGCGCCGAGGGATCCAGCCGCAGCCTCGCAAGACACACGGGCGTTCCCCCCGCATGCGGACGTCGATAGAGCAGGTCATGGCTTCAGAGGGTTGGATGCAAGGACACACCCAAAAGCCCGATCCTGAAATGTAGCAGAATGTTTCGCAGTCGTTTGGCATCTGCGAGGGTCTGTAGAAAGTCCACGAGATTGCACGCCGTCCAATGGAGGAGGGGTTAAAGCACCGAGCCCTACAGGCCAAAGACCCTGAACCCTTATTTGGACCTTTAAATGCCTACCCCAAAGCCTAAATCCCAACCATCCCAAAGGCCAGGGATTATCGCCTGGTCTTCATTGCTGGCGGCTTGCGCGAAGGGAGAGGCCTCGGTTGATACCTCGAGATTCGTCGGGGTTTTACACGGGTGGGTGTGGGGGGTTTGGGGGAGGGCCCTGCCAGTCCTGCCAACACTTTCGGCTCTTTTGAGGCACAAGAACTGGGCGAAGCATCATTGCGCGAGATGCTGGACAGAAGGCGCGCACGCAGGTTGTGCAAATTGCGCAATGGTGCCCGAAAGTCACCAAGCCTTACTGATGCGCCATACCGCACCCACTCGCTCCTCAAGACTGTCCAACTCAAGCCCCTATATCTCTGCAGCTTGCCACCAAGCCTGCCCCGCACTCAGCCCGACGTGTGGGGTGTTAAGTTGTGCCGTGAGGCTGCAGCCCAACCCATACACAGTGAAGTCCGTGAGGCGACTGCGCCGCCCCAAGCAGCCTCAGGGCTTTCAATAGGAGATCTGCAAAGTTTTTAAAGCCCATTTCACAGCTTACAATGGCTGATAGACTTACGTTTGTCAACTAGCAGTGCTGTAACTGTCTCTCTCTCTCTCTCTATATTTCTCCCTCTCTGTTTTGTTTTCGCTCGCGCGCCCTCCGTCTCTCTACCTCTCGCTCGCTCGCTCGCTCGCTCGCTCTCTCTTTCTTTCGCTTTCTTTGCGGGATGTCAGACAGTCCGCAGACGAGGGACCGGCCATAGAAGCCCGAGGAAGGGAGTCGTTTTGTTGACCAACTCCAAGAGATAATTAGCATATCTTCTCAAGTTTCGATGCGAGTTTCGCCATGTCGGGGCCTCCGTACGCTCAGGTTTGGTCGCGAGCACGGCGACGCACTTCTGCGAGAGATGGGTGCACAGGTTTCGACCGAGGCGTTGTCTCAGATACCGAGAACTCGGCAAGAACACAGAACTGCAAACACCTGTGTTGATGCACGGCTGTTCGATGCAGGCGTCTGCTGCCCGAAGAAAACGACGCCTTGCAAAGTCGAGGTGGGATGGATAGATCATGTGGGGACTGACAATGAAATGGGTAGGCAAGTTTCCTGCTGTTTCCAGAGGCAGTGTGCAGGTCTGTGAGAGGTCATGACCGCCCAGAGAGCGTTTCGCATCCGAATGGCACTGGCGAGCACTTGCCAGGCAGATGAGCAGCGACAGCGCGTGATTTTCCATCTGCGAAGTTGCCCCGCGCTGCTTCTCTGGCACGAAAATGGCCAAGCACTTTGTGTTGTGGCACCGCCGCCCTAATGATTACCATTGATCGGCGGTTCGCGCGGGATCCTTGCGCGGCATTTGCTGGATGAGGACAGGTCATGACAGATCCAAACTACAACTCGCCGCCCATTCCTCAAGTGGACAGGCATGGATAGATGATTTCTTCTAAGTTCAACGAAGTGTGCTCAGCAAGTCAAGTGAGCATATCCGTGGGTAGACTTGTGGTCAGCTCGAAGAGATCTGTAGTCACATTGTTCCGTGGACTCAGATCGATACCGCGGCACTGTCCTGCGTATTAGCGCGCCATCACCCGTAGCCATAGCCAAGCAGCCGTGCCTGCAGCGGACGACGCACTTGGCTATCCAGCGGCAATGCGCAGACCCGGCTACTCCAAGCGACAGCGTTCTCGATCACCCAAGGCATCAAGACACGGAAAGATGCGAGAGTCGTGTTTCACCCATTCCCCCTTGGGAGATCTTTGCAAGGCTCCTCAAAGGTAATGATGGACGGTGACTGGTCCCTGTTCAGAACGAAAGGCAGTCCGACGAACGACGTCGCCAATACAGTACTCTGAATAGCCAAAGTCCATTGATGTTTCTGCATGCTGCCATTCGTTCTGCCTACTCCGCGCAGCTTGCTCCAGGCTGAAGTGAACACCAGGCGCATCTCCAATGCGCTCTGTCGCATGATCCGCTACCCAGAACACCGACCTGAAGGCAGGCCCAGGGTTTAGGTTCTGGGGTTGCGGGATCTCTTGTGATCTCCGCAAGACCTGCGGTGTGAGACCTGAAGCCTACATTGCCCTGTCTGAAGCGCTCTCGCGATAGGACTGGTGGTGGACTCATCCGGGAAGGTTGCGCTCTCCAACTTGGTGTCCGCATGGGCCGAAGCCGAAGGCTTGACAAAAGAGAACATCCTGGACACGGTCCAGGCGTGCACGTCGGCTTTCTTCAGCTTAGGGCTCATCGGCTTCGTGCGCAGGACCTTGTTTAAACTCTAAACCCCTCAAGACGAGGATGGGGAGTCGCAAGCACGCCCGTCCCCAATTCCCCCCAAGTCCGCATACATTTGGAAAAAGTGAAGTTGCTTGCCTTATGGCGCGGTAGAGCTGGTCTGTGAACCCTATACAGCGCGCCTGGGGCTTTCTAGGGCTTAACCATCGCAGAAGAGATGTAGACCCTCACTCCGTTACTCATCGATGTCTCCCTTCTTCAGGCGCACATGTGGCAAGACACGGAAGTGCGGCGCTACTCGATCCTTGGGGAAGGAGCATGTATGGCGATTCGCACCTTGACGCATCCAGTTTGATCATGCAGGATCTCCATGACCCTGAAGTCCCTCTCTACCATACGAGTTGGGGGTCATTACGGTTTAGGGGTCAAATCTAAAGCGAGTCTGAAGCAGAACAACGAGCTAGTGGCCTGATTGATCCACTTAAGGTGTGCATCCTTCCAAGAAGGAGTCGCGCGGTGCGAATTCGAAGCCTACGCAGCCAAGGAGGGCACTCTTTGAGGGTCAAAATTTCTACATTCCTACAGAGTCTACCTGTGACGCACCCTTGAAGGGCTGGCATTGCTTCCTGGGGTTCAATGGCGAGAGAATCGTTTCCAGCGCAAAACGTTTAACTGTTAGATATTGCTGGCGTTGCAGGGCGCAGAGTTTAGGGTGTTCGTAAAGATCCCTCAATCAGTAGCCGAGTTAAGAATGGACATGTCGAGGATGTGCCTCTACGTTCTGCAGTGTCATTCCTCGGCTATAGTCTTGGGGTCTCAGAGGAGCTTCTGGCGAGTGAAGGCGGAAGACTTCGAAGACAAAAAGCGGCGCAACGGCAATTTCTCGGGAAGGGTCAAGACCGAGCGAGGTCTGGCAAAGAAGGAGACCCCCTGGGAGGATGACGAAATGGAACCTTCACCGGAGGCGAACATGGACGACCCAGCATTTTGGAGTGGATACCTCTACGCAAAGAGAGAGAAGGAGGCCGACGAGTGAGTGCAATGTTATGCAATGTTCACGGAAAAGAACAGCCTTTTGGCCAGGCTGAAAGCTCGGTGGCCGGAGTGTATAGGAGTGTGTGCACTTGCAAGATTTTCCTTGGCTCAGTTCAAGAACATCAGCTTTTTGCTTGGCATCGTGGAGCTCGGGAGCCACGTAGAGTCCGAGTTATTGTGGCGTTATTGTTGTCTTTCATGTAGTGCTCGGTTTTAAGGGGAGAGCTTGATCTGAGCTACTTCATGCCTGGGGTTCACGTTGTGCCGGGTGTGCCGGGACTTTTTAACACAGTAGCGACAGTGCCCGAACAGGGCAGATGATTCCCAGCAGCGGATCATTTTACACACGAAGCGAACAATACACAGTTACCATCCACCTCCCCTTTGACCAGTTCAGCTCCAAAGTTTTGATCTCCCAACCTCTTCACGCCGCTGTTGTGAAGTTTGGTTTGCGTAGCGCAGCAGCGCCCAGCTGTGGTCGATTGACGTGAGTGCACCGCAAGAAACACGACGGACTCTGGATGCCTGCCCTTCTGTCAAGCAGCTGTGGTCAGGCTCTTTTACAACCAACTACTGTGAACTTGACCCAAAGCTCTAAACCCGAACACCGTCCGAAAACACCCAGACTGACAGGCTGGAAGCAAGCTTGGCCTCGACGCACTTGTCACTTGCGTCTTTCGTCTGTTGGCCCTGAGTCCCTGGAGCTGTGTGTGCTGAGTTATTGGCCTCAACTTCCAACTTCCAACCTCACAGCATGGTTTAGGAACTGCCAACGCTGGCACAAAACAGATGGTTGCAACGAAGCCATGTGCGACAACTCGGACCCGGCGAATACAGCATGCCCACGACGGCACTTAGGGGCGGCGCGGCCCACTCTCAATGGCCGCGGGCGGGAAAGCTTGGCCATTCGTAACTCGGGTGAGGAGTCATAGCAATCGATGCGAGTTTTTTAGGCAGTTGGTCGACAAAATGCATCAGCTGATTGCATAACGATCACGACAGCTGTGAGGGTGTTACAGTGTTGCGGATATGTGAGAGCTGGCATGTTAACCCCCCTTGCGTCATCATCAAGCATGACTCTGCTGTTGGATTGGTGTGGCTCCAGCTTACATGGAAGATATGTGTCATGGCGCCGAAGAGGATAGCTGCGAACTGTTACAACCGTAGGGATGCAAGAACGATGCAGACCAGAGCCCACGGCCTTTGCGGTTGAGTGACTCGAGCTCGTGCCCCGTCGAGCCAACAGCAGGGAGGGTCAAACTTCCAGAATTTCAATCTCATGGTGAGGTGGTGTCAGAAGTGGGTTCATTCCAGCCTAACCTTCTCACAACCAGAACCTCACACGCACTGTAATCATCATAGGCACAGCACGTAGCTGTTGATGCACGTTGGTCCAACCGCGGCTGGACCAGCGCGCAAAATGCCAGGCGCATCGCTGTAGAAACAGCCTGGAGCATTCTATTTCCTTTGGCGGCGTGTGTGTGCGGTTGCTGCCGACGCGAAGAGTGAACATGCGTACATGTGCGTACACTGTCTGCCTGTTCGTGCTGCTGACTGCTGAGCACTTTGATCAGATGGTGGCAGCAAGGGCTTCGTCAAGGAAGGCCGAGAGGAGCGGCGTAAGCGGTGCATCGGCGTTTCTGAATTCTGAGATGACACTCCTTCTGCATGAGACTCCTTGCAGGATACCATCTTCGTTGGCGGTTTGCGCAAGAGCACCACAGAGGCGAAGGGGTTGCGTGTGTCGAAAAGAAGCGTACTGCAACTCGAGCATACAGCATCTGGCTCATGCTCTGAGGACAAGGTTGCGGGGCACTTCGCAAAATTCGGCCAGGTGGGGAAGCATTTGCCAGTATGTTGCAGTAAGAGAAAGGCACGTTGCCTTGTGGAGTTGGTGTTTTTTTACGCTGAGGTGTCCAATGTGGAGATCAAGAAGCAGCCCGATGGAACTTCTCGCGGCTTTGCCTTCGTGACGTTTGCCGAGAAGGACTTGCTGCTTGCCCTTGCTTCATTTTGCTTCAACAAGCAGCTTCTTGAAGAAGCTTCACTAGAAAGGGATGTTGGCTGGCAAAGAAGAGATGAGATGACCTGCCAAGTGCAGGCCTCCGTTGCGAAAGTACTAGAAGCCCACTCCAGCCACATGTTACTTGGCTGCGCTGAGTTCAGCAGGCCTCTGCTGTTATGCGTTTCTGTCGACATGCCAAGGATTGACAACAAATGGGTGGATGTGAAGCCCCAAGTAGCTGCCGTCCCAAAGGCCCTCAGCTCATGAAGCGATTCCCTTGACTTCTTGACATGGACATATTTGTCAAGTTTCCTGCTTCTTCAGCCATGCCTCCCAGAACCCACGTGACAATGTGGCTGCGAAGAAAGAGAAAGAAGAGGCCCGGCTCGGTAGATGGGGAGAGCTACCGCCTTCCCTGGCATGACACCGTGGAGTGTGAGGCCAAAGACACGCATGACGACTACGAGTCGGGCTTTGCGGAGAAGTATTTGCAGGTGCCGGCTCTCTGTCCAAAACGTGACTGTTGACAACCGTAAAGCCCTAGCAGGCCTAGACCCTGAAGGATCCGCTGCCTCCGATTGTAGCATCCCTCGTAGTTCAGCCGTGCTGCACTTGATGGTTGATCCTGCGCTGACGTGAGTGGGTTGCTGTTCTTCATACGCCCGATGCCCTTTTTACCACGTGACAAGACCGTGTACGATAATTACTGGTAAAACAAGGAAACCGCAAGAAACCAGCACTCAGGGGCATTTAGGGTCCTCTCACCTCATTGATACTGTTGCAGGCAGCAGCAGCCATGCAACAAGGATCTGGTGCCAGTGCTTTTGCTGAAGTACAGGAAAGTTCAGCCACGAAAGCAAGCTCGAAGATGCTCGAAGCAGGATTGAAAAGGATGGAGGGATACAGCACTCGGGGGATTTTGGTAGCCCAGTCCCGGATTCAGGCTGCTGATTGCTGCTGATCATGCTGCTTCGTGCCAAACAGCTCTGACAGTCACGTCAATAAGTGCTAAGGTGAATCCTCCAGCAAAGAGGCCAATGAGGGAAATTCCAATCAGATGGGAAACATGATGAAGGCCGCAAGCTTGTGAAGATGGGGTTGGGTTTCTGGACTCACGTTCACCATTGTTCGGCCCCAGACGACCCTCATGGCTGTTGGTTGTGCAATCTCATGGGTCATTCTTCGGTGATGCAACAGCCTGGCTAGTCAGCTTCAGCAGCAAATGCAAATTCTTGGCGAGGCAATGATGAGTATGATGCCCATGATGATGGGCAGCCTGGACTCTGTCAGTGTTCAGAGCTAATGTTGACCTCACGTGCATGGTTCAGCGCAGTGTCGGTACATGCGGCGGCAAGCAAGAGGCAAAACACAGATTGACATGCTTAGCCCTTTGGCGACTGCTTTGGCAAGGGTGTGAGGAAGAAGGCACGTAAACTCGGAAGCGTTCGTGGAACCAACTTTCCACTAACAAAGTGCCGCCCAAGCCGAACCAAGGCATGAACCCCATGATGATGATGGGCTGTGGCAACTGCGGCGGTGGCTGCGGCGGCGGCTGCGGTGGCGGCTGCGGTGGCGGCTGCGGCGGGGGCTGTGGGGGTGGCTGCAGTGGCAACTGTGGCGCCGGCTGCAGCGGAGGCTGCGGCAGCTGTGGCACTGGCTGCGGCGCCGGCTGCGGTGCCGGCTGCGGTGCTGGCTGCGGTGCCGGCTGCGGCGGTGCTGGTGGTTGCGGTGGCTGCAACTGCGGCTGCGGTAACTGCGGTGCCGGCTGCGGTGGCTGTAGTGCCTGTGGGGCTTGCGGGGCCTGTGGCGGCTGCGGTGCCGGCTGCTGCCCAGGCTGTCCTTGTGGTGGCTGCGGGCGCGGAGCTTGGATGTGCTTTGCATAAGCTTCAACACATGCCGTTGCAGAAAGACTGTCAATCCTACTGCAGGGAGTCGCTTGAGCAATTTGCAGTATGTTGCAGTGCTGCATCGGCGTCGAGGTGTGGAGGCTGCCCAGGCTGCTGCGGCTGCGGTGGCTGTCCAGGCTGTGGATGCAGTAGTGGTAGCTGCGGCAACATGGCGAGATCGGCGCACATTGGGCTCCGGCAGGGACTGGTTGACATTCTAATTCAGAGGAACAGGTTCACGAGTCTTCACTGCTTGCCGGCACTGGCACACGAAGTTGTGGACCTGCATGACCGCCGGTCATGTCAATGTGCTCCTGCTTGCTGCGTCCTTGTTAACTTGCCAAGTAAAGGTCCGTTTAGGTGCTCAACCGGAGTACAATCGAAGAGAACTGGTATCAGCTCTTGCTGGCTTGTGCATGTTTGCACAGACAGCGTCTGTTCAATAGAATGTCTATAAATGACAACTGGCACGCTGCCAAATGAAGCATCAGGTAGTTGTGGAAGCTGTGGTGGCTGTGGCAATTGCTGCGGTGGCTGCGGCAGCTGTGGTAGCTGTGGTAGCTGCGGTTGTGGCTGTGGCTGCTGTCCTGGCTGTGGCTGCTGCGGAGGCTGTGGTTGCGGCGGCTGTCCTTGTGCAGGCTGCGGAGGATGCAGTGGCTGTGGCTGCATGGGCTGTGGCAGTAGCTGCCCCGGGGGCAACTGCAACGCCTGCAGCACTGGGTGTGGGGCATGCGGCAGCACGCCAAGCGGAGCAAGCGGAGGAAGTGGAGCAAGCCCCTAGGCTCGGAGCTCCAGAGTCGAGAGATGTGGTGCTACATTGTGGAGCTATTTGTTGTGCTGTTTTGTGGAGGGGTTCCGTGCCTTTCTGCCTTTCCACCCTTTCACTATCTCTCACGGCAGTCCTAGGCTGTGGCGGTTGTGGTGCCCAAAGCTCTGGGCCCCCAGCTGTGGAGGATCAGGAAGGCCGCCCTGCCAAGGGCTCCGATCGCTTTCAGCCCTATTGATCCAAACTCATCTCACTGGTCACGATGACCTGTTAATGGTAGTTACAGCTGACGCGGCCGTTTGCTAGACACAGGAAGTTCCAGCACTCAGTTCAAAGAAAAAGGGATGAAATTGCAGAGGGCCAAACGAGAAATGCTCCAAACACCTTCCAGAAACCCCCAACCGTGGGCAATAATACTGCAGGAAGCATGATCTAGATTTCACCAAAATCTGCACAGGAAGAGGGTTGGATTGATAAAGAGATTGTTCCAGCTCAGCACAATTCAACACAGTTCGATCAATGAGCCGTCTCACAGTGCTACGTGAAGCCAGCTGGAAATGTCATCGCAGAAATCAGGGTTCTGAAGCTGGCTGAGACAGGATGTGTCCTGTTGTACGATTGTAGCTGTTCACGCATGTGAGCGGTGGGTTTGGAGACAGTTATGAACGTGAGGAAAGTTGCTCACCTCAGAATCAGACGTTCCTGTTGAGCTAATGAGACCGCAGCTGTCTCGGCCGCCAGTTGCCGAGTTTGGCGCAGAGGCTTAGTTCGAGTTCCAACTCCTATCCTCGTGTTTCTAGCGCCATCATTTCCAGGCAGTGGGCAGCTCGCACGATCATCCAAGTTCCGCTTCTTGTTCATCTGCATACACAAGAGTACGCTACCGTCCTGCCGGAATACAGTGGTAAGTGCGATGCAGTACGGGTTCCAAAATTCGGGTACTGCCCCTGCCCCGACACAGAATCCCCTTTTTGAGTTCCGTCGTTGGCTTTTTTGATCGTTTAAAAGCTTGCAGGTCATGTCCAGACCTGGGCAGGTCCTTGCAGCGATCCTTGTGGCAGGTCGCGAAGTGTTCGGTGATCTGATGTTGAGTTGAGGGTTTAGGGGGCAGTGATACCACAGGCGTGCGGCTTTTTGTAGGCACAGTCAAGTGACTTAGGTCGGCATCGCCAATGCATGCACCCGCAACCCACCATCTGTTTGCCGCTCTCCCTGACACCAGGGAGCGCGTTCTGTGCGCCACATGTGCCGAATGCAGCTCCACGCGTAGTTCCTCTGGCCGAGAGACGAGGTCGGGGCAGTGCAATGTATCCTAAATGTATCCTAATCGGTTTGATGTGTGCTGTTGGTCTCCTCGCGCGTGCACATTTGAAGCCCTGATGCTCATGGAAGCTCACTGACGTTCTTTCGCCTGTTTTGCAGGAGCCCCCAACGCGCGACCTGAGAGTTGGGGCCAGAGCGTAACTCGGCAACTGAAAAACTCGCGGTTGATGTCGGCCGGTCCTTCTAGGAATCAGAGTGTCAGGTTTGAGGATCCTGGCTCACATTCCATCGCTCGATCGTAGTAGACATCTGTACACATCTGTGGACCATGGAAGCCCCCAAGAAGCTGACAAAAAAGGCCCTGGTAGCTTCGACGCTGGGCGTGGTCGCCGCATGGGCCACGGTGTGAAGCAGCAGTGAATTTGTCGCAAAGGCACTTGCAGCATCTTCCAGAGATGATATGGTCTTCCAGCGCAGGCTAAACGCTGATTAATCCATATTGGCATCAAACATGCTTGCAGTGAATCGGTTGCTTTGAGTTTCTGCGCTGCGCGCATGATCAACTGCACGTTAAGGTAATTAAGCCGTTTGTGTGTTTTTGTATTTCCATTTAGAAACTCTGAGGTCGCAGCAGCGGTTGCGCGACGTGCTGGAGATGTGCCTCGGACAGCATTCTGATGCATTCTGTTTTGAGTGGGTGTTGATTAGCTCCTATAGTCGAATGATGTATGTGTTCCCCCCGGACCACTTATCTGTGAACTGGGGCCTCCCTCCTGTCGCGTCTTTTGTCACGACTGGGTGAACACGCGCATCTGTACAAGCTCCCTCGGTGCACTCTTTTTGGCTACCAGGTGGACTCGAATTCGGTACGCGTAGTAAACGCGATGGTTACATGGCCAGAGCTGCTCTCATCTCCGCCTGTTCTTCAATGGCTGGGGGTCGGTTTAGGTGTACAGACAGCGTTCCTCCTCAACACCTGCAGAGGCCTGCGTGACCAGGTAAGTCGCCGATTGCCACAGTGGGAGGCTGCTTGGAATAGGCAGGTGGCCTCTCGTAAGTTCCGGAGGATTGAATTCATCGCTCGAGTTGCAGCCACGCAAGCCTGGTCACAGCGGGCGGATGAGATCCAACAGATCAAAGACTTGGCCAATGATGTTCTGAGGAAGCTGCAGAGCCCCTGCTCGCATTGGGCAACGCTTTTGTTCCCTGCTGCAGAGCCCCGTGGTGTGGGGTTTTTGTTGGACTTGTCACTCAGCCATCCCTGGAGTGCCAATCCCCAGAAATCCCGCAGACATTCCCTGCAAAATTGGCTCTGGTTTTTGGGATGTACACTCGGATGTTCCGAGTAAGTATTTTGCAGGTGATGCGACTATAGGAGGTGTAGGAGCCCCTCTGCTCTGAATTCCTCGACAGGGTGTGCAGTCAGCGTGTACGGTCCTGACAACTTGAAACCTCTGCCCCCAGAGCCACACAGCTTGCACCCTGAACCGAGCCCAACACGGGGCCCTCTCAGCATTCCCCCGCATCCAGGCGCGACACCTGCGGTACTCCCGGATTGGTCCCGACCGCCAGCACCCAGTCGTATTTTTCCACGATCGTGGAGGCAGCTCAGGTGGCCGCGTGCAACCCTGACGAGCAGGCGATGACAGGGAGACGAAAAGAGAGGCTTGTAGACTTAAAGCTACGGGCGATTTATTTGTGGGGTTCAAGGCTTCCTGCATATTTTGGGGTTGGGAGACAGTCGCAAGTATAGGCTCTTTTCGGATCAGGTACCGGAAGCCTGGAGGATCCTCCGAACAGTGGTGGCGTTGCAGAAGTGCAGCAGATCTGCTCGAGATGATCGGATGCTGGATGTTATGGCTACACGCCTTGCAAGCTTCAGGATTTAGAGGTACTTAGGTGAAACATAGGTGAAACGTCTGCGTTCCGTGCAACATGCAAGCGACCGCTGGGGTGCCTTCGTGATTTTAAAGATCACGAAAGAGCGCTCACGTTTGAAGATTCGCATTGCCTGGACGGTTCAAAAGTGATGTCGCTGCAGCTCTGCTCGATGCTAACCCTGCAACAGCTGCCCGGCAGTAGACCAACTCAGCATCACAGTGCCTGCTGGATCTCTGGGGTTTTGATCCTGTGGTTGGCGTCTAAGGATGGGTTCTCTGGCTTCTCCTACAAGACTGCATTCTTCTTCCCAGGCCAGCATAAGAGAGCTTCGCAGACGTTTACGTTTTGTAGGGTTCATAGGGTTCTAACATGCAACTCGCTGGAGGACAGGGCGCTCAGACCGTCGGCATGTGCAAAGAGTTGACAGACGAGGCCATTGGCATTTGATGTCAGTACTCCCCACTCAATTTCAATGTCAAGAGCCTTTGCTATCAATTGCCTTTGTTGCGCCGAGCAGTCCAGCACGCTTCTCGGGCAAATCTGACAGGTTCCGAAAGCAAAGGAAATGCTGCGGCCTGAGCAGTGGGAACTTGCACCTTGTGTGTGCAAGATAAGAGGCGCTAGGCGCAGAGTACCTGAGTAATGCAACGAAGTTCCGCCCCCTCAGGTTTGAGAAAGCCAGCGACATCGTAGGCAGGGTGACCCAGCAGACCCAGCATCACTGCCTCCGTTCATGTCGTCGAAGGTGACTCTAAACTCGAGACCTAAATCGCCTGAGCCGCTCAACGGCAGCATGTCAGGCTATGACCTTCTGGACCGTTGCGTGAACGGCCCAAAGGAGGCCAGACATGCGCATGACTTGTTAGTTGTCTTCGATGCTGGTAGGATCATGCGTGCGACCACATAGAAACAAGGAGTGATTGGAACAAACGACTACTTCTGAATGAAACTGTTCACCGACGAGTTGTACTGATACGTAGCATATTTACTGAACTATCTGTCGGCTTTCGTTGAGATTCGTAGGTCGTCGACATTCGCTGCTGAACAGTTCCCATGAATCACTGTTCACGGAAGCTCAAGCCTGAAGTCCAGGAGCTGGACAAAACAGCGGTGTCTCAGCCCGCGATCTTCGTGGCATCTATGGTAGGGGCCTGACTTGGAGAATTTCCTGCACCGTCGCCCACGAAAAGGAAGTTGGTCAGAAATGTGCAACCAGGCCGCTGTGGAGAAGCTGCGTGAGCAGGATGCCGCAGCCATCGACGACGCCACAGTCGCGGCCGGCTTAACCGGCTCTGGAGACTGCTTAGAGGACTCTGGTCCTGTTGACCATAAGCCCTCCCATGTCAGCTCCAAGCCGAGGCCATGGGCCTCTCCCTTGGAGAGTACAGCCTGAGCCCCGAGCAGCAACAGGCAATCTGGTACAGCACCGGCTGCAGCAGACGCATGCAGACGTGCCTCACGTCACGCCATCAGATGACAGCCCCCACATGTCCTAACGTTTCCCCGTTCACCAAACGAGGTGCGCTGAGCTTTGCAGGAGCACTGAGCCTGCTGCCTCAGTAATGCAGCTGTTGTGAAAAAGCCAAAGCGAAGCTGCGAAACCCCCTAAAACCTCAACCATGAGCCCTGAACATCCCTGAACCCTGCGACTGCCCTACCGTACCGAACTCTGAACCTTAGCCCGACCTAGACCCTCAACCTGAACCCTAAGCTGCCACTCCTAAACCCGCTGGGCCCTGAACCTGTGGTGGTTTGGGGTTCTTGTGTTTTGGACCTCGGGGCTTCTAAGGGCTTCAAAAAGGCTTAGAAGACACACTGTATCCTGTGCACAGCATCCTCACTCATTTGTGGGCACGCGAAACGAGAATAACCAGACATCTCCAGGGCAAACATGCAACCATCAGCGGACACCAGCAACATTCCTCAGAAAGGAGCGAAGCACCCCGTGACCTCATGTACAGGACCCTCCTGCATAACTCTTCTTGTGTGGGCCATGTTTCTGTCCTTGTCCTGTGGGCTGTTGCCGCTCACGCTGCTGCAGATAGTGGTGGAGGCCCGCATTTCTCGTCGCCTGGTGCCTTGGTTAGATGATTCGGGCCGCATATCTAAGGAGGCTGCGCTCACTCGAAATGCATACCACGGCTAGGAAAGCTGGGAAGCATAAGACTGCCCTGTGAATGGCACCGTGTGCCGCAGGCAAACCAGCCCGTGCCACAGCCGGCACCGGTGCCGCAGCCAGCGGAAACCGCGGATGAGGAGGCGAATTCTCATTCAGTGGTGCCACCAACACGATCTGAATATGGAAGCCCACATAAGCCAGTTTGACCAGCCGGATCATGCAAACGTAAGCTTGATCAGTCCTCTAGAGGGTAGGGTAGCGCCGTAGATGAGCTGGACAGAATCCTGCCCGGGTAGTTCATGGATTCAATATTACAATGCTGCATCGTTTGCCTAGACTCTTGCCACCTCCGTGTATGGACATGATGAATCCTGATGCTGGCAACCCCTATTGCGGCGAGCTTCTTTGCATTGACCGCACGGCACTGCAGGACTTGAGCCTTTCGCCCACGAGCGATTTGACCAAGCCAGATTTGTGGCATCTGGGTTGCAAATTGACCCTATTTATGCCCTCATTGAATCTGTCAGCATTCCCGACTGAAGTCAAAGTACCGCCCCAGTGCCCGATGCAAGACAAGCGGAGCTGGCAAGGAGCTGCATACGGGAACCGCCCAATCTCAAGACGGCCACCCTGTGCGCTCCAAGAGCGACTATTCAGGGGATATTCAGGGTCTGTGAGGGTTTAGCGCTCCAAGCCTAGGGCCCCCATGATAAATCCCCAGCCCCCACATCCCCCCTCCCATTCCTGCTTCTATTCCCCTCCTCTCTTCTCTCCTTCCTCCTTCCCTCCTCGCCCTAACTTTCTCTTTTCCAGGCAAAACCTTCCGAAACCTGAAGCTGGCACTAAAATGCTGGTCTCCCGGCACGAGAGTCTTTCTGCAAATCCACGACGCTGCAGGGGCTCAAGATACGACTGAGTCGTACTTGATGTCTGGTGTCGCGCGAGGAATCCTGAGGTGAGCGAGTGCTGTAAAAAATGCCTGGAATGAAGCGGAGTCTTGGAATCCCCCCCGAGACACGCCAGACGTTTCTGCAGCGACGGTGAATGTTAGCATGACTGTCTCATGGGATCTCATGACTCGCTGGCTAACAAGCTCTTGATCCCGAACAGCAAGCCCAGGACAGAAATGAGTAGCTTAACTGGAAGTCGTAGCGTCCAATTGCTGGCCCTGCTAGCCTGCAAACTTGTGGAGTGCTACACCCTGAGGAGCATGCAGTGGCCTGCATCTACGAAATTCGGGAAGGAAGGCTGTGGTGGTAATGCTGCTGCAATCTGCTGCTGCAATCTGCTGCTATCTGCTGCTGCTATTTGCTGCCGCAGTCCGCTGCTGCAGTCTGCTGCTTGCTGCCGCTTGCTGCCGCTTGCTGCTTGCTGCATCTTACTCTTGCTGCATCTTGCTCTTGCTGCTGCTTGCTCTTGCGGCTGCTGCTGACAGTTGCTAGTGCCAGCTTGCTTTGGGTGCCTCCGCGAGTAAATTCTCTTGAGGTATATCTTCTTGCAAGCGGATGGGAATGAGGACGCAAAGCTGTCCAAGGCAGACACTTGCTTGCATCCGGAGGTTGACCTCAAGCCCCTTTCCTTGCAGGTTAAACATAGTAAGCCCTAGGACTGCGAGAACCGTGAAACCGCCCGCCCCAAGACTTGCTAAGTTCCGTCTGCTTTGAGCTTCCACCTCTCCCACCTAGGAGCTCTTCAACTTTGCAGCCGAGCACTCGGGTCATCTGCACATCCGTCCAGTTGAGACGATGGAGCGGGGGGATGGTTTGGCCGGAGGGCCGCTGCTTAGGTGTAGGACGGCTTAGGCTTCAGGATGGATTGAAACCTCGAGGCCCACTTCAAGGAGGAGATCGAGCGGGCCACCTACGCGAAGGTGGATCCGAGTGCTGACCTCGACAAGGACGGCGTCGATCTGCAGAGGATAGTCTTTTCACATGAGGTACTTTGCTGTAATGTATGACCACGATCTCCGCCGTCACTTTCTATAGTGGAGACTCCTCACCTGGTCAGCACGAGAACTCGTTTGCTGCTTCCGATCACAACCGTGAAGGACGGGGCACTAAGCATGGAAGAGCTGGAGAAGTATCTGGCCACGCCGCCTCGATGACATTGGTCGGTTTTGGCTTGGCTCTTCTAAGCTTGCTGAGAACTCGCCGATGTCAATGATGTCAAGGTGGGACATAGAAGACTTCCCACAAGAGCTGGAACGAGTAAGGTCTCTTGAAAGGGACCGCATTGCTCCAATTTGCTCCTTTAGCTTTGCGAGTGTGTGAGTGCGGTGCGAACTTTAAAAATGCAAGGCTGAGCCCTCCGTACTTCTGCGCAGGAGAAGTTCAAACTTGCCGATAAGGATGGCGATGGGAAGCTGCAGGGTGAGGACCGCGGGGCTGCGCGGTAGGCACGGGCTTTAATCCTGGCATCTGCTTGTTTCAGGAGGTGGTGGCCATGTACGGCCATGGCGTGGACGAGAAGGTGTTGGAAGCAGAAGCCAAGTCAACCTTCTCCGTGAAGGATCTTGACAAGGCACGCTGCGTGAGTACACGCCCGCAACATCGCAGATGTCGCATGCCGGATATGGGCACGTAGCCCATCATGCCAAATTAGACCGCACGCAGGATGGGAAGCTCTCAGTCCAGGCGGAAGAGCTTGCTGGGTGTACGGATTACTGTAACCACGCACCCAAAATGCAGGAAGGGGGTGAGTCTCTTGACAGGAGTTCTGGCATGACTACCTCCGGCCAGAAGGCGATGACCACGATGAAGACCATCGTGATCGCAACATCACCTTTGCCAACCTGGATAGTCGCTGGGCCCACATGATTCAGTTGGCGCTTGTTTCATTTGCTGAGCCCAAGGTTCCAGAATACCACCTACGTACAATCCTGTCGCTGTCCATGTTTACTGTTAGAGTTGTCGTCAGCCACTTGCTCTAGTTGTAGGCGATGATGATGGCTTCATAGACCTGCCAGAGCTCATGGTCTGGGAGAGCGGGCTGTTCTTCCTTTCGGAAGCTGTCGATGGCGCAGCTTGTTCGCAACAGAGCTGGCAGCTGCGGAAAGCCATGGGAAGCCCAGCGAGCCAAATCACGCCACAGATCCTGCACTTCGCTGACCGTGATGGGGACGGAGAAGCCGGCTTCCAGGAGCAGCAGCAGCAGCCCAAGCAAGGAAATCAAGATAACCAGGGAGTGCCTCTCCACACGTTGCTAGTGACCTATAGTGACCTGCACCCTTGCACATGTTGGGCCCTTCCTGGCGAGAACCTCGCATTTCCTCCTGAAGCAGGAGCTTGTCGATGCATGGCCCGACATCGAAGAAGCAGGCTGGATGAGTGATGTCAGTGAAGCGGGTCGAGCTATCATGTCCTGTGCCCCACGCCCGTTCGCGATAAATATAAATGGTGTGTGCTCGTGGGCAGGCGTCCAGATCCCGCTGCGGGGTATCATCACCCGCGCACTTGGAGAGCACGAGGAGCATTGCCGGGAGGGACCTTGCGCCAGATGGGTGCTGTGAGAAGTGAGAATGGCAATGTCTAAAAGCGTTTACACACGTGCACATGCTAAACATCTCAGACTCCTTCGGAGCGATGCAGGGCGCCCACGACTCCGAGCTCTGAATCCAGTCTCTGCACTGGTTTTGTAGGGGCTTCTGTGGCTGGAACGGGTGAGAAGGACCCATGTGAAGGCCCCGCGAACCCTCATGTGAACCACTTCCTAGCTCCCGAATCGCCAAGGGGCAAGAGGCCCACGGCCATGCAGCAGGTCAGAAAAAGTTCGTCGAGAGTTCTACTCTCCTTGAGATCCAGACATGGGAAGGGCGCAGCTATGCACAGCTAGTGCTTAAGGCTTCGAGGACGGCGTCAAAATCACCAAGGTTCGCGGCCGCGGGCTTAGATTCTCCAGCTTATGCGCAAGATTCGATGGAGTCGGCACGGCCGCAGCGCCCGAAAAGGGGACAAGAAGTACGTTCGAACTCGCCTGGGCTGAGGCGAAGCTATGCAGGCAGCTGCCGACGCAGCCGAGTCTGGCATGGTGAGCGTCGTGGGCAGGATCCTTAGACAGGGTTCAAGCTGAGCTTCAGATAAGGGCTCTTGGGCATCCGTAGAAGAGATGTCTTCCCCAATCTTCCCCAAAATGGAAACCTGAACAAATCCTAAATTCATCTACACCTAAACCCAAGATCGAGACCTCTAGGGGGCAGCTCTCAGGTCTGGATGCTGAGAAGACAGAGGCGCTTTGTGCCAAAGCGTCGGAGCTCTCTGGCAAGAGGCCTGTTGGAGATCCGGGGCTGACATCCGAGCAAGCGCGTCATACGTGATTGCAAGCGGCCCGCTGGCGTGGCGCGCGGCAGTGTGCCTCGAACCTGTCCTCAGGGTTCAGATTGCCAACTTTCTGTGCAAGGGCAACTATACCGCAGCGATCTCAGCGCACGTTGAGATTGAGCCTTTCGTCCCAGTTTTTGGCCGAAGCGGCTTCTGTCTTCATGGCGGTTCTGCATGTCCGGATCTCTCCTGGCCGGTCGATGAAGTTGAGCAGGTCTCCGGTGACAAGGAAGCATGCGCCAAGCTTGCCGAGATTGCCAAGCCAGATTTCAAGGCAGGGTCATTAACATAGGAGAACATGCGGCTGCTGATCATGTCCGATCCCACCTTATCCACCGCTTGATCTTGTCAATACATTGCCTGTTTCCGCATGTACCGCATTCAGAGGTGAGGCGTATGCAATTCTGTCGCTTCATTTGCCAGTTGACAGTTCCCGATACTTATACTTAATGTTGGCTCGCCCAACCTGATCCAGGCTAGATTGGCAGTTCCATTGGCGGTTGCCGGTGCTTTCCACACTGATTTCATGGCACGCGCCTTATTTTGCACACTGCACGAAGGCTGTAGACACTGTAGGCTCATTCTGGCATGCCCTCTCGAGGCTCCTGCCGTGGAGAAACTGGAAGAGGTCTTGGCGAGTGCGGCTCTCAAGACAGAGCATTCACACATCCAGACCATGAGGCACACTCTGGCACACTCTGGCACTCTTTTTGCAGGTGTGGATCTGAAGAAGCCACGGATTCCGGTGGTCTCCAATGTGGATGCCAAGTTGCAACCTCGGCTCTTGCTGGGGGTCCGGCTCAGAACTCGGAAAGCTGGTTGTTGTTGAACTCTCACTACAAGGCCACACTCTGATCCAGAGATGATCAAGGCTCTTGTTCATGCAGATGTTACTCTCATTGGCTTGAGCCCCGGTGGCTCATAACTCTTCAGAAGCTTCTCGCTTCTTGCAGGCCATACTCGCGAAGCAGGTCACGGCGCCTGTACAGCGACCCGGCTTGAGAAGTGTCGCCAGTTGGTAATCCCATGCAGTGCCGAGTCTACTACTGCCATGTAACTTAGCTGCTAGCTCTGCGCCATCGGGGTAAAAATGGGTAAAACAAACGAGCATTCAGCATGTTTTTTTCCGTGCGCTGCCAGTACGAAAAGCGGTTGGCCACACTTGCTCAAGTAGGCTACCATCAGGTGAGCATCAGCATGCTAAGGTGGGAAACGCAGATGAAGGAGCTGCTCGCACGTCCTGTCCTGCCATGCCGTCCCACCGCATGGTTGCCACACAGCTGCACGTTCTGTGTCTGGCAAGGACCTGGCGGGCTCAGGGAGCTTTGAGCGCGGCTTCGAGTGTGGTCCTGGCAAGGCCCGGTATGGCCCGGAGATGCAAATGAGATGCAACATGAGCGTATACGGGTGTGACATTGCCTCGTGTCCTCAGCCCATGTGCTAGCTCTGACAGGTCATAGCCGGCATTATGAAGCGTATCGACAAGCCCCAGTGGCTGCATTTTTTGCCGGACATCGCATATGTGTGTGTGTGTGTGCGTGCGTGTAAGCAGCCTGCACATGGCTCTTGCACATGGCTCTAAGGAGCGCAGCGGCCAATGTGACTGGTGTGCCAGCCTGACCGCGCTGAGAGCATCGCTTAAAGGGCCATATAGGGCCGTTTCTGAAAGAGATCCAAGTATCAAAGCCATAAGAAGACGCCTTCTGCCAATAGTGGATCAACGAAGTCTCAATTCAGTGAGTCATTGATGGGTCTGAAGTTGTCAGGAGCAGACTCTGAGCAGACTCTGTTTATCGGGTCAGCTCACAGGGCAGCATTGGTTTAGCAGCTTGGCAGCTGACCTGTCGGGTGCACACGACAGGCAGCTGCGAATTCATCTTTTCCTGCGGATATTGGCCGTCCAGGCCGTCCTTCTCCAAGCCACCAGCAGGCCTCAACAAGGAACAAGGAGCGGGAATCTGCCAGCTTCGCCTCATGTCTGACCATATACAGCATATACAGCAGCGTACTTGGATGTGAAGTAAAATTATTTCAGCTCAGAGCCTGCCTGAGAACCTTCGGAATGCAACACCCCGTGTCGCCACTGCTTGCTGTTTTCGCAAGAGCTCGCAATCAGCCACATCACAGAGCAAGGAGTTTCGGCATCCAAACAAGAACTGCGATGTCAGAGTCGTGCAGCCTAGTCACGCGTAGTCAGCTTCAGAGACCATCTGCAAGACCCCAGCAGGACCTCCCTGTCTCTCACACACACACACACACCTTACAGAGAACGGTTTGCTGCCAGACAGACATTGGTACGCCACAATGATGCCAAGTGGCACCTAGCCACTAGCCAAATCTCCCCACCGCGTAATGCAAGCAGCAGAGGCGGGGCAGCTCATTGAGCGATGCTGAGCGAGGGAGCTTGGCTGTAGGTCTCGGCAGCAGGCAGCCTTCCAGCTTGGATTCAGGGGGGGCATGGAAGCATGTGGTTGCTGCAGGTGGGCCAATCTGTCTACGACCTCGGAGAGGACGGGATCCGTAACTTTCCTAAGTCCAGCTGGCTTTGAGAGTTCGGCATGAATCTGGATAATACGGATCCTGGCTGCTTTGCTAGGATGAGCAGCTCGCGTTGGCAATGCAGCAGGGATCCTGGCACCCAGCAGTAGGCTGCAGCTTTCTTCTTCATGATCGGCATCCACCCTGGGCTCAGCTTCCCGAAGTTGAAAATCCTCAAAATCCTCAAACCAGCCCCCCCCCCCCCTGAAGCAAAAAAAAAAAACTGAGGCAATCGCTGGCCGAAGCCCTAGAGGCGGAGCCCAGCGCAGCCTGTGCCGACCCGGACTCCGCGGCTGGGGCCCGGGCCTTGGAGTTCGCCTTCGGGGCTTCGGCTCTCTTCAGTTCGTGGGTCTGAGGCTTGAAGCTCTTCAAGGGTTTAGTTCGGCAATGAAAAACTTCCCCAAACCCTCCGAGGCCTTCACGGGGGCTGTGGCAGACGCGGGGCGCCGGTCTCGGCTCCGGGAGCGGAAAAGCAGTGGCACTCGCAGAGGGGTTTCCTAACTGAGGACTCTGAGGACCCTGACAATTTCCCAAAAAGGGCGGTAGCCCTCGTATACTTGTATATCCCAAATAGAAAACAGAGTTTAGTCCCCCCCTTGCAAGTGGACCACAGAACAGGAACCTCATTTGCCTGTCTGAAGCAAAGCCTCAAGATGCCCTAGGCTGGCGCCCGAGACCGAGGCCTGCTAGATGCGAACTTCAGACTTTTAGCAGAGGGTCGAGAACGTGGCTTAAGGGCTTTTCCAATAATGGCATGGCTCTTCCAAGCCCCTGAAGCTTTGAAATGAACTCACAAAACCTACCAGCAGTCACAGCAGAGTGCGCGGGAGAAGGACATGGGTCCCTCTGTCATGCCCAGCAAAACATGAAGAAGAGTTGGAGAGCAAGCAAAGCTTGCTAAACTGTTAGCCAAAGCAGCCACACCCAGCGCCAGGCACCAGAAGTACTGGTGGCGCCATCGCCAGGCTGCGTGTGGTGTGGCGTTTATACTTCTGGGGGCGTACTGAGCGTTTTTTGTGTAACCTTAAGTGTAACCTGATATTTTTTGTGTGGTTTTCGACGTTAGCGTACGCGGCCGGGTCAGTAGATTAGGGCTTTGGGATTGCATTTCCTGACCTGCCTTTGCTTCTTGAGTTGGTTTTAAAAATCGAGGGCAAAGCAGCAAAAACAAGTGTGCGGTAAGGAGGGCTGCAGCTATTTCCCGAAGAGCAAAAAGATTGCTGACGACGTCACGACGTGGAAGCATGACCAGGCTGTCACTCGAACCGTCCATCTTCTCTGAAACCCCCCAAAGACCTTCTGGACCTTCAAAGCCCTCCCACCTTGACCCCAAAGCTCCTTTTGCTTTTTGTGAATGTCGCCTCTTTACTACGTCAGTATCAGGGGCAAACCGATCAGGACGGCGTATGGGGCGGATGGCACACAGCCTTCGGCAAAGGCCGTCGAACCCCCCTAGCCTTCGTCGAAACCCTTGGCCTTCGTCGAACCCCCCTCCCGGCCTTGTGGCCTTCGTTCAACCTCCGGCCTTCATTTAGCCTTCGTCGAACCCTCGCGTTTTTTTTCGGGCTTTGTCTTGGCCTTTTGTATCGGCCTTCGTCGAACCCCCTCCCCCTTCGTCGAACCTTCGCCCGGCCCCCCGGCCTTCGTCGAACTTCGTCCGGCCGCACGTCTGATCATGCTGATCTTGCTATTCTTGCAAGTCTGATCAAGCTGATCTTGCTGAAAACGACTAAACACTACACCAAGTCAGGACTCCAAGCCTCGAAACCCCTGAGCCCTCAAGGTCCCAGTCTCGAGAGCCCTTTGCCTCCCATGCCTCCGCCCGCGCCGGAGAGGGAGAGGCCACGGGGCTTTGGAGCATCAAGCGGTTTGTGGCATTATGCTGTGAGGTCCGGCTTCAGAGATCTGACTGCTAGAGACCCTTGTGTGGATTCCACTTCCCGAGCTTATTTGGGGACACATCTCACAACCCATCAGATCCCTACTGTTTCAGAGTCCCCTTCTGGAACCCATTGGACTCATTTACCGTCAAGCCTGGCTCAGGGACTTTCACGGATCTGCAGATCCAGAATGGGCGGGCAGCTTGCAACTCAGCACCTTAAGGGGGGGCACACGAGGGGCACCTGAAGGCCCTCTGAGCCTGAAAGCTTTGCTGGGAGATGGGACGATGGGATCCGGCTCCCCTATCATCTACAGAGGGATTTAGATGTCGCTTGAGGATAGACAGTGTGACAGGCGCAGCTGAAGAAGCAGCTGGCGGAATGGCCGATCCCTCAGCGATACCTGTTCAGTACCTGCAAAGCACGTAAGCATGGATGATGCTCGACCTGCAGGTGGCTCAGATGCCCTGGCCGTCGCCTCCGCAACGCCTGCAGCCTCAGCTGTCACGATGTTTGTGGCGTTTACAAGTAGGATTTGTAAATTTCAATATTCACCACCTGGCTTGAGGTCGCTGCAACAGTGGTCGTGACATGACAGATACCCAAATATGGACTGCGGTTCCCGGTTGCAGCTACCGTAGCTGTTGTCACCCTCACTCTAAAAGTGCCGATAAAATGATGTACCATACTGTGCTGCAGCTGACTTCAAGATCTCTAGCGACTGCCCTTCCCTGCAGGCCCAGCCGGTTCCGGTGAAGCCTTTGCAAGGGAGGCCGCATATGCTGAGACTTGTGTGCACATTGCTCCTGCTTCCTCGATGCATGCTCAACATGAATTGTCTGGATTGTGTCTGGTCAATGGCATGGAGGCACCAGGACCAGCACGACTACAACCAAGACCGGCTGCGAATAGCAGACTCTTGGATGAGGTGTGCTTCACCGGTTCACCGCAGCGTGTCCTTACCAATTTGCTTCGCACGTCGGCAGATGCAACCGTGTCAGTACATGTTAGCTTGGGCAAGCATTTGGGCTTACAGACAGCCTTCTGGCCACGAGCAGTTTGAAAAGACTCGTGCTGAGCTCACTGTGACTGTGAGAGCAGAAGAAACCAATGCCAGGGAATCAAGGGAGTGGCACACGTCGACAGCCACTCATACAGACATAGTCCCCTCTCTGGAGCACATGCTCGGACTCGGGCGTCGCTGCACCTGCGCGTGCCCTAACGATGTGCTGCACAGCAGCGGGCCGCTGGTCGGAAGGAGAATCAAACTCATACGGTCGGTGGTACGGTATATCGAGATGGGGCTTCGACTCGAGGCTTCGAGTGATCTCTGCCAGCATGGCATGAGGTCCTAGGGTCCTAGACCGTCTTGCTAAGATTTGGAGATCCCGCAGTCCAGCGCTGGAGGTCCCAACTTGGCATCCAGGACCCTCTGCGAGCACCGAGTGTGTGTCGACCTTAACACAGTGTCACAGGGGCAAGACATCCCGTAGAATTGGTCTCTGGTCATGCGCTGCAGGTTTCGAGCAATCGTAGTATGTACAATCGGGAGACTACTACCAGTCACTCGAAGCGCTGCTTCAACCCCACGATGCTGGAGGCTCTATTTGCAGACCGGCCTGGCCGAACAGATGGAAGCTGCGGGCTTCAGTCGCCAAAGCACTGTGAGGCGAATCACAGAGTTCTGGCGTCTGGTGTCAGAGGGTCACGCAATCCGCGCGCTAGTAGAACGCGGGTCGGACCTAGGACCCACGCATGTGGAACAACTTTGGGCGTTGCCCTGTTGCACCACGCCACACATTCACTGCCCCCAATGTCAGGGAAATTGAGGAGCGAGTGATCCGGGCAGCTGGGTGCGACCTCCTGTGCCCAGTGGATGGACGACGGGGATCTGCCTTTGTCGACTCCATCGTGGGCGTGGACAATGTCGGTGTCTCCGCATGGCAGGATCTAATTCTATAGGTCTTAGTTGGCAACTGTGTAGGGGAGCGGCATCAGAACCCGACCGAGGCAGATGAAACAGCATATGAATGGGAACATGCATGGGAAGCAACTAGGGCCTGCTTTCGAGACTTGTGTTTCGAGTCGTATGAGTCGTCTTCCGGGAAAAACTCGAGGTTCGGCAACGCAAATGTTGAGCTACACCTGGGACTACACGATTGCTGACATCGTCGACGCACTGGCAGCATTCTGCGGTGGCCACATGCTTAAGCCGAACAGAACGTATGTCTGGATTTGTGCACTCTGTGTCAATCAACATCGAGTTCGGGAAGCCCGGGCAAAAAACCAGGCGGCTGGTTGAAGCAACATAGCGGCATGTCCACCATTGCTGCAGATTCATCTTGCGTCTTAAGGCCCCAGCTTGCTCTAAGAGATCTGTCTAGCTGCCTGGTTTCAGGACTTGCAGAGAACAAGCCAGACGTTGCCTGCATCGCTACCGTGAGTTTGAGTTGACCCCTGAAGGTGGTTCCCTTCCACAAGTTCGCCGAAGAGTTCGGCAGTCGGGTGAAGGGCATTCGCCACATCTTGGCCCTGATGGGACCCTGGCATGAGCCAAGGCACCAGAAGCAATCCGAAGCGTTCTTCTCTCCCGAAGCGTTCTTCTCTCCGAAGGTTTATGGTTTGCATCTTGTAGGCCCAGGTCCTCACATCCGCAAGCACAACGAGCAGCCACAGCAGCTGCAGCAGCAACAATAGCAACAGCAGCTGCTACAGCAACAGCAGTTGGGCAATCAACGACTGGCGTCGGTTGAAGTTGAGAGCGAGTGTCCTTGAAAATCAGCTTCAAAGATCAGGTATTAGGAGGCCCAGTCTATCGTCGTTTTCGTCTCATGTTTCTGTTTCCTCAGGCGGTCAGCGTGTAGCTCACCTTGGTGCAAGCTGGCGTCGTTTATCAAACCAACAATCCTACAGTCGGACGGGTGGCGTCTAGACAACCTTCCTGGTCTCAGTCTGTCGTCATTTTCGTTAACAACAACAACGATCAGGTACATTAACAGAGCTTGGTGCCTGTACGAGATGGCCGTCGCCATGAACATCGAGGCAAGGCATGCGAGTTCCACGCATGTCCAAGATTTCAATTCACATGGCAGCTGTAGCAGCTTGGGATAGAAGCCTGCGCCCGAAAGCACGAAAAGCTTTCGAAGCTTCAGCAAAAGGAAAACACAGTAGAATACTCAGTAGAACCTACAGTCAACTCTGAACCCATGCGAGACCTGGCCGTCCAGGACTGCAGGCTCGATGTTCTCATGCCGCCACGTGAAGCGAAAGGCTTCGCCGAAGCATTGATGAACCACTGCGATGCCCTGCAGGCGAAGGGAGGTTTTCACGAGTTTTTGGGGCATCTCGGTTCAAACTCCCAAGCACATGAGTCACCAGTCTGGGGTCAGCCAACCTTCCGGCAGGAGCTGCGAGCCATCCTCTCCCGAGCCTCGCTTGTGGAAGACAGCATTCACACATATTCACATACCACATTTCAGTGGCTTGAGACTGTCGGATTTTGGCTCTGATGGAACAGTGGCAGAAAGTCATGAGCTGAAGGCGTGTGCGTTCTCCGCGCGGAAGCGTCCGTCGAAGCAGACAAGGCGCCACTTCAGCTTTACTAGAATTGCAGTAGCTTGCCACCCACACCTTATGTTGGTAAAAGCCGGCTCAGAGGCTTCACGGCTCGTGGGCAACCCTTTCTGCAGACCTGCAGGCCAACATCATGCGCTGTGTAGAGGATGGGGTTGGCCTCCACAATCTGAACGAGCGACTTCGCCGAAACCTTCGCGTTTGGTGCCTGGCCTAAAGTGGGAATCTTTGCCCTCAACTGCGTGCGCCGTGCCTGGTGAGATTACTCTATTCAGGTCGTGCTCCTCATGCCTTGCTTTACGTTGTTGCTCGACATACCGGCTCTTGTATTCAAATTTGATCTCGGAACAGATCAGAAACAATGTAGTTCGTAAGATCGTGCATGGAAACTGCATGATGAGATCTGTGCCGATTTCAGCTACTAGTGTCAGTGCCTGCAGCCACTTCCTGGCTGGACTTGTTCGGCTTATACACGCGCCCTATCATAGAGTCATAGTTCCTTCAATTCATAAGCGCTGTGTGTTCGCGCTCTGCTTTGCCCAAGCCCTGTCCGAAGATTGTGCCCGTGATCATGCTGAGCCAAAATGTCAGCTCAGGATTTGTAGGTATAGCACCACAGCTCATCGTAGCCCCTCCAATTGTCATTCACAAGATTGACCCTGCCAGTACCTCGGTCCAGGTTCTTGGCCCGTGCAGAGGATGAGGCGACGGCCGCCGTGCGCTGCATTGAGAAAGGTCTCTGCAACAGGCTGGTTGCGCTGCATGCCATGGTGAATCGCGCAAACGGTTAGCTTGGAAGCAAAGACGCAAACAGGACTAGTGTATTACTGTATGGAGGTGTCTGTAGGCATCTGCATCTCTAGTCGTAAAATCTCGCAGGCGAAAACCTGCAAGGGGCTAACATCGGGTAAACATCTTCGGGAGATGTCTGTTCACCCTTCAAGCAGGCCACTTTGCCATTTGAGACTCGCAAAAACTGCAGTTTACCATAGGCTCAAGTACCTACTTGTACAGCAGCTATCACAGTGCGCTATGCTGCGATACTTCTTGTTTTGCTCGTAGTTTGCGGATCGTCGCGCCGCTGCTCGCCTTGGGCGAGGCCACGCTGCGGCATCCTTCAAGTGTCGAATATGCTCGCAGACCTGGGGCAGGCAACTTGGGAGTGTGATGTTCTGATGCTGTGACATGCAGTGAATCCTGGAGGCCTCGTTAGTATTTCTTTGGTCATCTTGAGTCCCATCTTGAGTCGTCTCGACGAACGCACACCCCCAAAACCTGGAGGTTGGTCGAGCAGTTCGGCTGCTTCTAGCTGCTCTGAAGGAAGCAAAGAAGAAATGCTCCGCGGAGGTGCGGATGCGGGGGCGCTTCCGCAATGCTGTAGTAGAAGAGATTCGGAGTACGTCGGATCGTGCTTAAAGTGATGATGCACAACAAGCAATGCTGACAAAATATAGGTCGTTTTGTGTCAGTGTTTCTTCCGGCTTGGATCTTCAGCCTTTGCACCAGCTGGGGGTCCCAGCATCACCGGCAGAAAGACTTATAGGTGTCTCTCCGCGTATGAAATTAGCTTGTGTTTGTTGCACGATGCAGCACCCCTTGGTACGGAACATGTATCAAATTTGAGAAGAAAGGGTTTCTCCTCTGAGATTTGAAATCACGACGCCCAGAAGATGGTCTTCCGTTTGCAGCATATTCCTTCGCCAGGCCATTGTGGCCTTCAATGCTGCGCTTGGCGCGCTGCTGCCACGTCAAGGCGATCTAGCAGACGCGGCATGTCACTTGCATCTTGGAGCCATCGTGGTGTCTATGGATCTTGCCGATTGACCTGTGACACTTGTGATTCTGGGATTCTTGAGGCAGGTTTTCTGTTCCTGTGCAGCGGCCTGCTGAGACACCACATGCCGTGTGCCATGGTTGCTTCCCGATCAGTTTCGTGACTCGTTCGCTGAGTCGAGGCATACTGCACAGCTGGCCTGGGAAAAGGATCCACCCGCACAGACCTCGCTCGCTTCCAATCTGCACAGGGGCTGAGGAGTTGAAGGTTTCATGTAACTGTTAACGCTTATCGGAAATGTGGCGCCAGGAGACAGACTACACTTCCGACAGGCTTGAGGGAATGTTGCAGAAGATTGCGATCGTGACCTAGGCCATTGACATGTCCACTTCTCTCGCCGCCGTGGCTCTGCATCACGGGGACTCCGCCTTGGCTCTCCGCCACTCAGCACGAAGCAGTGCAGGAAGAAGCATCATATGTGTCTGGCGGAACTCCTCGGAAGCCTGAGGCCACCTCACCGAAGCGCATCGTTTGTTCCTGGTGCATGGTGACGGCCATCCGAAGCACGAGCTACCCTTGCTGCTGGACATGGCCTTTGCACAAGCGGATCTTGGAGACATCCGTGCAGCAACGGCAAACTACCAGAAGGCTCGAACTGAAAATATCACGAGCAGCGACATGAGTTGGCGGCGTAGGGACATGTAGGGCAACGTATACGGGGCCATGGCTCCGATGGGCATTTGGCTCTGCAGGTTGTGGCGCTGCGTCTGACCCACTCGCTGTCTGTTTCGTGCGCAAGCATTGGCCCGATGCTAGTGTCGCAGCAGCCCCTCGACGAGGACTGCGCCCGCTCTTTGTACAGTTTTGTACATGTTGAGTGTAAATACTGTAAAATAGTGCAAGCTATCTGGTCCCAAAGGAGACATGCCGGGCGCAGGCGCAGTTGGTCGAGCAGCTACACCTTGAGTCCAGCGCGTGGGGCATGCATCTCAGCAAGCTTTCGGGGCAGGGGGACAGGTTGCAGATCTGAGAAGAGTTGGAAGGGAAGACATGTGCGAATACCAAGCCGGAAGAGGTACCCGGGACAGGGTCGCAGGTTTCGGGTTATGCTGCCATGAAAAAATGGCTAAAGTGTACACTTAAGGCCCATGTTTTGGATCCCAATGTGGCCCAGCCCGGAGGTGTTCTCCATAGCTTGCAAAGAATTTTTACCAACCAAACTGCACCAACAACAGAGTCGCCCTGCCAGTAGACCTATCAGCCTACAAGGCGGTTGGAAACTACCAGTCTGACTAGCAAGCAACATGCCAGAGTAAGCTTACACTGGCGCCGGTGTTTGACTTTGCAAAGAAGTCAGAAAGGTACGTCTTTACCATCCTGGCCTACAACAAGGCCAAGGGCGGATTTTGTCTTTTGTCGAGTGGAAGCCATAATTAGGGTGGTTAGATTCTTAGACACCCTTAGCTGCAGTGGTACCAAGCTGTTAGCTCAGGCACAGCACGAGCTGCTCAGCGAGGCCCTCGAGCTTTGTGACAAAGTCTTGGCATTGTGGTCGGGCTTGGACACTCCGTTTGTGGCAGACACGTTCGGGGTGATGCCCCCAGATGCGATGCAATTCTACAATGTACGCTAATTCTGCTGGGCTGCCAGGGCAAGAGCGTCTTGCACGTGAACCTAAGGTGAAGGCTTGCATCCAGGAACATCTTCTGAATGCGGACGGCGCCAAAGAGTCAAGAGCAAAGGTGATGCAAATTCGTGATGGGTTAGGCACCTTGCCAAAATCATCTCTCTCGTCGTCTTCCTCAGGGAGTCTTCCTCAGTAGAACAGGGTCCATGGTTGGTATCGTGCATGAACCTACGCAGCCGTCCATTGTGAATGTGTGGGCTGCCCCGCAGCCGCCCTGCGAGGCATTCCTCGCACTTGCGAGCTGATAGACATGGACTTCTGCAAGCCAACGCGCACGCATCATGGACTCCAGAGATTCGTGGATGTTCTTCGATCCTGTCTGACTGTCTGCGTTCGTTGACCTGAAAGATCCTTTGAAGCTTCCGGCAATCCAGCTCAATCGCGCTGAGGTACATGCAGGAGAAGTACGGTAGAGAGCTGGAAAATCTCATGGCGGGAAGATCTCTGAGCTGCATGGCGTCATCGTGCAAGGGTGCCGAACCGGCGACTTGGCGCTCTATTTTCGGGAACAGCAGCGCAACGTTGGGAAGTGATGAGGCTTGCTGGTAGGGGGTTTGGGAAAGTGATGAGCTTCGTGATTTTGTGGTGTGGTGGGTAGTTGGATAGGTTGTCATCGGTTGACCTTACTGGCTTAAAGGCTTATCGGCTGGATGGATATTGTATTGCACAACTGCTTGACTTAGTGGCGGCTCAATGGTTCAATGGACCTCCATAACGATGAATATGACAATGGAATCTGGAAATCTCGGTTTCTGGGGGTGCAGCTATTTGGAGCTTTTGTAAGTAGGTGCGGTTCATTCCTCGAGATTACGTAGTTGCCGTCACAGGATGTGTCTCAGAACTATAGAGCGCATTCATGGTTCGTAAGCGGTGACAACTTAATTGAGTACGCGATTCATGATGTTGGATTGGATTATGAAGGTTAGCTCTACAGTCGCAAGACCGGGTACTGTAAAGAGAGACCAGAGTGCAGCCATGGCAAATTCAGACGCATGAGGGCACACCCGTTTTCGAAACCTTGGAAACCCGTAGGTATGCGAGAGCAAAGTACTTGGTGTTGCGACATCTATGAATCAATCTACATCGTGTCGTGTTTTGTCAATTAGGCTAGCTGCCGTTTCTGGCACCAGCGAGTGAGCTGCCCGAAAAAGGATATCCAAGGTATACGCGGGTGATGTACTGTATACTCGATAGCAATTGTTCTCATATCTAGTACATCTTCATTGCGATCGCCTAGGAAGGCGCACTGTTTCGAAGCAGTTTTGAAACGCGTTCACTTCACCCTGGAGCCAATGAGCCGCTAAGGACTACATAGTGGAAATGTCGGGGGGGGGGGGGGGGGGTGAAAGGCGGCGGCCAACCAGATATGTAGGGACCACATAAAGAAACCTGCCTCCTCATCACCTGCATATTATTGACATGGTTGCCTCCCTGCCAGCGGTCGTACATGATTTTTTGGGTAAGTGCCTGACGCCCTTGACCTCGGCACCGTGACCAGGCGACCTCAAGCCCAACCAGTTGCTTTTCTTGCTTCTCCTTGCTCTCGGCAGCCTGCCTCAAGCGATTGGTGGGCCCCAGGCTTTCGACCAAAGTTGAGACAACGCATCCCCGCAAGCGAGGGGATAGTTTCCGTGAGCGTCTGTTGAGCCTTGGTTCCTGTTCTGGCATGCTTTGAAGTGTCACGGAATGATTCTGCCTGGCATCTCCACACGTCTCCGGGCACATCGTGCCATCAGCTGTAGAGGATGTGTACAAAGTGGCACAGATGCGTTTTGCTGCCGCAAGCTCCTTCCAGATTGCCCTGGGTTTCAAGCTATCGGCGCAAAAATGGCGAGCTCAACGCGACCTGCTCAACCTGCAACAAGTCACAAGCCACTATGTTGTTTCTGTAGGCGTGTTGAGAAAGACCTGCTGGTGGCGCTTGTGCACAAAAGCATGGACAGAGTGTCTGCATCTTTGCAATGCAGAAGCCCTTGCTGTGCTTCGTCATGCTGCTGTGAAGCTTCGGTGCAGAGGTGGTTCAGCGCTCATTGGAACTGGCGAAAGCCAGGTGCGCGGGAGAGCATGGCTCACCCATGGAAATGTGGGCTGCTTTGAAGACGAAGTGTCTGCCACAGCCAGGCAATTTGAAGAAGCTGAGCGCTGCTTAGCACAGTTGGCAAGCGCGGCACTCATCGTCACATGTCGACGGTCTTGCCTCATTCCAGCACGCCGTGTCTCTTCCTTGCAATAAAGTGGCTGGCTCAGGGACTCGTAGCTGAGGTGAGCATCCAGAATTTGCTTCATCTCGAGAAATGACAGCAGCTCAGGAGGCGCAGCATGGTCTCGTTCTTTTCCTTGCCCCTTGAACCAAAAAAACATCTCTGAGACCCAGGTCCTGTGTCCCAAAAAGCAATACGCCCTGCTGCATCTGCATTGATCAGGCCGTGGCCATGTGCAAACTGCTGAACCGCGCTTAGCACGTGCAGGGCATGCCAGCAGCGCACAGAGGCTTCAAGAGTTAAAAACGAAAAGGGAAGCAAAAAGGGGGACTGCCACAGAAAGACTGTTGTGATCTTCGTCAGATGTAAACATTCTTTCTGTTTTATAAGAATTTTTCTGATTGATGCATATTCAAAAAAACATATTGATATTGTGATTTCTCATTTTTTAATTCGGGAATAACTTCCCTCGGATACGATATTTGGATTCATTCGGCCAGGTCTCAATGGGAGAGCATCTGAAAAGAAGTTTCGATCTCATTAGTGGATCGGCGTCGAAGTTGAATTTCTTAATGTTCTTTGCGCACATCTCATTTGTGTCGTATCTCATTTTTCGATGAAATATGAAAATTAATGGACTAGTGCATGATAGTGAACGGCCCATATGCTACGTCCGACAGATCCTGGAAAGCACTCCTCTCCTCTCGTAAGCCTTAGAAGGCCATACCTTGAGGAGGCCGGATGGAAGCTTAGGGCCGCAAAAGAAAGCATGATCAAGGGCCATGTCGGCAGCGTCCACGCCCAAACCTTCGACCCCAAATTCGTAGACATTACGCCCCAAGCCCAGAACCCCGTCGCTGGCCATTGAGGGTCCGGCACACCATCTGTGTTCTGCTGACGTTGTTGTGTTGCAGTCAGCTGCCTAGCCTAAAAGAGCTCAGATCGAGATGCTGCAGCATTTCGGCTGCTCCGCGCCAGTGGCGTGGAAGGTTCCAATTAGGTATATGTGGATTCATCAGCCATCAAGCATCGATCAAACTCCTGAGCACGTCTTCTGTTCCATAAAACCTGCTTCTATTTTGCCGTCACGATGGCTGACGAGGCTGACATTTCCGAACGCCTTGAAGCAAGGGCTGCTATTGACACACACACACACACACACACTAACTACAAGCACTCTGTTGTTGCATATTGCTGGGGTATTGCAGGTCCAGGACGTGCCACTCGACGATAGCCCAGGTGGCCGTCAGCTGCTCTCTGCAGCAAAGTTTTATCTCAGTTGCGCATGCTAACGGGCACGCCTCGTGCGATTGGATTTTTGCCAGGGCCTGCCGCTGATGCAGCTGTTGGGCTTTTGGCCGGCAATAGTTACAGCACTCAAGGAGGCCGGATCACAGGCATATCATATCCGCATCACGGACAAGCCGTGCTTCGCCGCAAGGGAGCCACTTCCCCAGAGTGCAGATTGTGCGGGTCTGAGTCGTGGCCCGAAAACATGCTTAGATTTTGACCGAAGCCCTGCAGCAGCTGGCTGCTTGGCATGAGAACATGCGAGCTCTGCCAGGATTTGCTTCCTGCGTGTGCAGTTGTCGAAGCCGGCGACTTCTCAAATGCAAATGATGTTGTCGGATGTTGGCCAGACTCTATATGCTCATAGATTGCTTGCCACTACGCCGCAGCGCCTTAGGTGCAGGAGCCGCTTCAGGCGCGCCAGGCGGACAAGGCAAGGGATTCCAAGCTCCCGGCGGCATTCAGTGTGCGCGCGCGGTTGGAACGACAGTGCCTGACCATGTGCAGGGCGACGTGCAACCTTTATCTGAGGCCATGCCGCCAAGAGAGTATGCTCCACGACAAGGCATGGAGGCATGGTGTCTTTAAGCACTTGACGCGTGGAAGGCTCAATTGAACCACGAGATCTTGGTGAAGGAAGCTCACACATGCGGCGCTCTCAATTGTTTGTTTCGAAGATGCTTGAGGGGACCAGTGGCCACGCAGCGTGGAGCCATGTGGCGCAACTGGTCAGTGTGAATGTGGGTCTGAGGCTGCACTTGCGCGTGGCCCGCTTTGCTGGCATTCTTCTTTCCCTCTGAGCCTGTGGCCAGCGCGGCCACATTGCAGCAGTACAGGCTTTACCGAGGACTTGCGCGAATGTATGGATTATGGCATATTGCGGCAACCGCTAGAAAGCATATCTGATTTTGCTTCAGAGTCTGGTGTCCATACAAGCAGTGTCTCCCCAACACCCTTGCTTCTCTGCTAAATCTCTCATATAGGCCCAGTCTCCCCAAGCCCCCTTGCTTCTCTGCGAAATCTCTCATAGAAGCACAATTTTCCTAGCCCCTTGCTTCTCTGGAAGTCTTTCATACAAGCAGTGTCTCTCTCCAACCTCCTTGCTTCTCTGCGAAATCTCTCATACAAGCCCAGTCTGCCCAAACTCCTTGCTTTTTTGCGAAATCTCGGAGATTTCGCAAAGAGGCAAGTTTCCGATGCAAGGGTAGCGCCAAGGCCCTTACATCAACAGGTCCAACGTGGTTTACTGATTGATGTGCCTCGAAGAAGGCCCACAAGTAGGAACATCACGCCGTGCAAGAGCCGCGGCTGCCAACGTGACAAAACGTGACTCCGTGTTAAGTGCGTTTTTTGCGATTGTTGTTTTTGACTAATGCGTTGTGCTTGGCGAGGATTGCGCTTGGCTTATTGATATTTGTCGACATTTCTTTGGATCAAGGACCAAGCAATAAATTTGAAAGAAGATTTGGATTATTCATTTTTCAATTAATGAATTTGGATTTTCGTAGATCTAAATTTTATCTTTTTAAATAATTTTAACGCTACGCGACCCGCCTCGGCCCGGCCCAGCGCATCCGCGTGAGCATGGTGATTCCGCAGCGCCCAAGTCGCTGGACCCCAAGCAATAAGGGTTGGGTTGAGGGTTGAGGGTTGAGGGTTCCGGGTTTATGGTTTATGGTTTATGGTTTGGGTTTGGGGTTGAGGGTTAGTTTAGGGCTCAAGGTTCACGCTTTGGGGTTGAGGGTTTTTTTGGGTTTAGGGTTCGGCTTGGAGTGATCGTAGGGTTGAGCCAGGCCCCTTAAGGTTTAAGGCGACTCTTCGGCAGGGTGGGGGGGAGGGGGGAGGTGGGGTGGGGGGAGGTGGGGTGGGGGGAGGTGGGGTGGGGGGAGGTGGGGTGGGGGGAGGGGGGGAAGGGGGGTGGGGGGGAAGGGGGGTGGGGGAGGTGGGGTGGGGGGGAGGGGGTGGGGGGGTGCTGGGTGGTGTGGTTGGCTGGGGAGGGGTGGGGGGGGGGGGGGGGGTGGTGGGGGTGGGGGGGTGTGGTGGGGGGGGGGGTGGGGGGTGGGTTTGGGTGGGGCAACGGTGGGGGGTCCTGGCCTCTGCCTCTGGTCCGGGGCAGGGGGGGGGGGGGGGGGGGTCGGGGGGGCGCCCTGCTGGGATGGGCTGCAACTGCCTCTGGTCCTGGCGAGACATCCGCTTGCGGACCCTCCTCTCCTGGGAGGGGTACCCATTTGAAGCAAAAAAAGGGGGCCGAAAAGTGGCTTTGGGCTTGGGGGGAGGATTTGGAGGGGGGTGCCTGTTCTGACAACCTATACACCTTCGACCCGAGGCCTCGGCGGATAAGATCTCGGATATCTGGAATCATGGAAATATTTGATTCATTGATGAGATTCAATTTCTTATTTGGTATTTTTGGATTATTTTTTCTCTGTTATTTTAAAAATTGAATATAAGATAAAGATATTT